TGCTCTTGGTACATGTGTTCCTGTTAGACAATAATTATCATGAGGTGGATCACGGGGTTTGAAAGCTGCTCGGCGCCAAGTCGCTCGGCACCACAGGTTCTGGCTCCGTGTAGACCGGAGTGCTTTCAGAATGCCCAGGGTGGTATGCTCCTGGTGACCGGGTGAGTCCCGAGTCATCATGCTCGGAAGCAGAAACCATAGGCCGAAGAGCGACTCCATCATCGACGCTATTCTCCGAATTGTGGCCATCAAAGGTCACCGAGTCCGCTGCAGCCCGGCCTTGGCGGGCATAATAGAGCTTCTTTTTTTCTTCTTCACTCATCAGAAGGGTTTCCACGTTCTGTGGTGTGGCGACCGAGCTAGAACCGCAATCCGACGATATAGTAAGCGTAGAGTCATTCGATTGGTGAAAGACAGGAGGTGACTGGTACTGAGATTGTTGGGGATTTTCCATCGCGTTGACCATGCGTGCAAGTGCGGGCCCAGAGCCGGTTGTGTCGACACAAACCTCATCGAGTACCTGCTTGGCAGGTGCAAATCGACCTTCCACATTCTCCGATGGGCGGACGGGGACGGATCTCCGGCGCACGAGGCTGTTGCGGAACGTATCGACGTTCACATTGAGCTCATCGCCCTGCTCTTTTGCCCGTTCAACTGCTTCTCCTGGCGTAGTATGGTCATCAGCAGTAGCAGCATCGGCCCGTGGTCCACCCCAAGTTCGCTGACCGGCTGTGAAAATACCATAGACTATGTAAATCCAGTTGAAAAACGGGTTCACAATGAACATGAGTGGGTAAAGCCAGGCTTTATAGCGTCCGAGACGCAGGCCAAAGTATAGCATGAGTAAATAATTCAACCCCAAGGAGACCCCCATGAATCCCACGGGAAGATCATCCACCTTCTTTGAGGTTGTAATCAGTGCAATGACCATGATGGAAAAGAGCAGTGCGGTCGTTCGGATGGTGTTTTGCATGAATCGAACCAGACACAGAAGGGGATAGCGCACCCAGAGCCGGAGATCAGTGATCATACAAACCTCGTTAGTGATGAAACCTAAAAACCATCGTCGGCGTTGCTTCAAGAGAGTACTAAAGGTCTGGACGGCCTCGGTCTTGCAGAAGGCGCTCATACATAGCTGGATTTGGTAGCGTTCTGTGGCGCCAATCATGAACAGGTGAGTGAGCCATCGGTCTTCCCCAAGATGACATTTTCCGTAGTCGAAGAGATCTTCGCATTGCTCGGCCTTGTCAGAAAAGTAATACTTGGCCATCTTGCGGAAAGCCGAGAAGCGTAAAATGGTCAAAGCTCCAGGGAGACAAGTCACCGCACCACAGCCAGACTCAACGGATCGTTCAAACAGCTGGCCATGAACATATTCCATGTCTTGAAGAATCGTTAGTAGGCTGTTTCTCTCCGTCGTCGACGTAATGATGCCCGTCATTGCAAGCATATTGCGCTTGCTGCCTGGCTTAAGTTCCATGTCGTACATGAAGTTCTGCAAGCAAACTCGATCAAGAATGCAGTCGGAATCGATGAAAAGAACAAACAGATTGTCATGTCTCTTCAGGTACTCGGCATAAACCTTGTCGATAAGCTTGAAAGTATGCTTTTGGCAGTTCCTTTTACCGCCATGTTTGAAGCGAGATACCGTGATCCGTGCACCCTTATAAATACAGTCAATGCTCTGAGGATAGCTCTCCAGTGTGATCGGGATGCCGAGATGGTCGAGAACACGGAGATACGGCTCGTCCACCTTGCCACCGTCGTATGAAAGAAAAACATGGATGCAATTTGCAGGATAGTCGCAGTCAACCACGGAATTGATGGCTTTAATCAAGATACTTGGGTCCTCCTTGTATACTGGCATCACAACCACAGTCTTCGGAGCCGTCCGATCATCAAGGACTCGTTTGATCCTCTTTTTCCTCCCCAGTGAATTGGTGGCAAGTGCGTAAACACAGAATAGCCATGGCCCGATTAGCAGAACAGAGAAGGCCCAGAATGCGAACACTTGAAATCCATGCACCATTTCGTGGGGTAAGCCAGCCGTGACCTGTGGCGGCAACGGCAGTGTCACGAGCATGACTGGAAGGAATGCCAGTCTATCAAACGTGTTCATCAGCCATGTCCCGGAATAAATCTGCCAGGCAATGAGCTCTCGATGTCCAAGAAACCTACCGCAGCACTGTGAATAAGAAGATCATCACCACAGCCAGAACTCTTATACTCCAATGGTCCGCTTTCATCCACACTTTTATCAGGCAGTAGAGGAAGGCGCTCAGCCAGAGAACCCATTCGAACAGGGCTGCAAGCATCAACGGGCCAACAATTGAGAGGTAGATTATCTGTCGAGGGTGGTTAGGATTATCGCAAGCCCAGTGGGAGAGAGCTTACATCTCCGGTCGCCCAGGCCGACGAATCCCTTTGCGATATTATCATTTTGGTTTGTCGATCCTGCTTTCTAGCTTGTTGGATATTGACAATAGCACTTCAAGTCAATGTTGAAGGGTCCGAAGGTATTGTATGTGGAGAACGAAGGCCTTAACACCACGGTTGGTTAGCGGAATTAGAGATCTCAGAGTGGACAGACGGCCACTTATAACTCACGGCCTGATAATATTACAACCCTGAGTGAATGGGGATGCCCAGAGTACAACTGTCCTGAGAAGAATATTCCACTGAAGATATACGATGATATTTGATAAGGGTGAATGCTCAGTGACAAGATGAGTTTGAGGAGAGAGTTCCTGGGCAAGGAAAGAAATGAAGTCAGTACATTATTAATAAACCTTAGAAATCATCTAGTCACGACCTTTGGGAAGGTGCGACGATATTGACCAAACGTATGAGTACATCATGTACATAATGTACATAATGTACTTCCAACGTTAGATAGGTACTACGGGTCAAACTGGAATATATCCAGCTGAGACATTCCAATTTCTACTTCTATTTATCCACTTGTCATCCCAATTGTTATGAATACAATACAGACAATAGAAGACAATGTATATAGCAAACTTGTCGAATTACCCAAAATGGAATGGTTCGAATCCGCGCTAACCACTCACGGACTATTCTCTGCCTCAGGCGCCAATGGAGCTCAAAAAAAATTCCCAGATTCTCCCCGCTGCGAGATTGTCACAAGCGCAATAGTATTCTGAATAGCGCATTGATCAATCCTACAAAGGTATTGTCACAATTACCCCCCAGATTTTGTCTATAAATTCTCTCCGATCCCTTGTTCACTTTCTGCTTTCTCTGACTCACCTCCGTCGCGTCGAATCTTCCTGCTTATCATCCTTTTTGCTAAACATCTGAAATAGTCTCCACATACAATTCGCAACAATGGCCGAAGAACAAAAGACCCCCGTTGTCAACACTGAGGCTGAGAAGGACGTTCAGAATGTCCTCGCTGAGCTGAAGGAGGAAGGCGCCACCGAGCAGCCCGCCCAGGACGCTGATGAGGCCCGCATTGTCGCCGAAGCTGCTAAGCTCGGAGAGAAGTCTGAGAAGGCTGAGGAGAAGACCACAGAGTCCCAGACTGAGAAGCGCGAGACCCGCAGCTTCCAGCGCGATGGCCGCGGTGACCGTGGCCCTCGCCAGAACAACGCCAAGTTCGATCCTTCCACCCAGGAGGAGACCGACGACCCTGTGCAGATTCGCAAGCAGGTATGACTATTGGAATCGCGCCCTCGCCAGATCTCAACTAACGCTCACACCATAGGTCGAATTCTACTTCTCCGATTCTAACCTCCCCATGGACAAGTTCCTGCTCTCCAAGGTTGGCGGCAGCGCCAACAACGCCGTGCCCCTTGAGCTCCTCCACTCTTTCAAGCGCATGCGCCGCTTCCAACCTTTCAGCGCGATCGTTGAAGCTCTCAAGACCGCTGAGAACGTCGAGCTGACTGACAACGACACCGCCGTCAAGCGCAAGGTCCCTCTCCCCGAGTCCGTGAACGAGCACGATGCCAAGGCCATCAAGGTCTTCGAAGATGCCTCCATGGCCCGCTCCATCTACGCCAAGGGCTTCGGCTTCGGTGAGGAAGAGCCCACTACACAGCTCGATATCGAGGCTCTTTTCGCCCCCTACGGTCCCACCAACGCCATCCGCCTGCGCCGCACTCACAACGACAAGACCTTCAAGGGCAGCATCTTTGTTGAGTTTGAGTCTGAGGAGAAGCAGAAGGCTTTCCTCGCTCTGGAGAAGAAGCCCCAGTGGAAGGACACTGATCTGATTTTCAAGAGCAAGAAGGAGTACTGCGACGAGAAGGTCGAGGAAATCAAGAACGGCAGCGTCTACCCCTCCAACGCTCGCAACGGCGGCGGCCGTGGTGGACGTGGTGGACGTGGCGGTCGTGGTGGTCGCGGCGGTCGTGGCCGTGGTGGTGGCCGCGGCCGTGGTGGTCGCGATGGTCGTGACCGCAACGACCGTGATGGCCGTGACTGGCGTGAACGCCGCACTGAGGACCAACAGAATGGCTTCCAGGCCCCCCGTGAGGCCCAGAAGGACTCTCGGTAAGTCAACCCAATATTATCTCGCAGTGAGTGTATAAAATGCTGACTTATATTTTAGTGGCGTCCCTGTCGTGCAGAGCACCCAGAAGCGCTCCCGCGAGGATGAGGGCACCAACGGTGGTGATCACCCCGCCAAGAAGGTGGACGCCAAGGAATAAGGTATCCAGTTTCGGCGGATTGAAATGCCTTGTCTTTAATTCTTGTTCTCTGATTCGGTCAATCGGCGGGATTCAAAAAGTATTACGGATTGGAGATCCGACCTGCCTATGTTTTCGGACTATTTGATGGAGGTGAACCTTCTCTCGGCGTTATGTCATTTCATTACGAGCATCCACAGGTTGGCTAGGCAGGCCTCTGTGGCTACGATTAACCGGGGCCTGGGGTTTGATATGTACAAATGAGACTTTTGGACGAACTGTTCTCAAAATTCTTCTTACCATAAAACGCAGTTTAGTACTAATACCAAACCTGCCTATATCAACAGATATATCGAGCGTCTAGAACTCTAGATCATAGGCCAAAGTATCATCGCACAGCTCCTCGCGCATCTTATGGACCCTTCAAGGTGTCAGCAATCAGCCCAGTCACTACCCTGACGAAGAAAACTTACTCCAAATGCGCAGGGTGCACCGCATAGGTAGCGATATGCTCAGCCGTCTCCAAAACAGCAACAAGTCCCATATCGAAACCTTGGGCACGGGGAATCGAAATCGGCAGTGGGGGGCCACTCTTCAGCGACAGCAGTCCTATTGCGAAGTTCCCATGAGAAATTGTCTCAATCTGAACTTCAGGGTTTCACCTACCAGGAATCTTTCCCACCATTCCATGGCATGTTTCCTTCCAGGTGGCGATCTGGGCCGGGGTAACGCCGGGCTTAAGGCGGAAGAGGACTTGGAGGTTGGTTAGTGAGGCTCTATGCGTGCCTTTATGACACTCGGCTGCGTTCAACTCACCGATGTGATAAACTGGCATTTTGGCTGTTGGCTGACTCTCTACAACTAAGGATAGATGTACGTTGCTCAAGTTTATGTATGTAGCCGGTGATTGTGTCACTATGCGGGGTGCGCGGTGGGGTTCTCGGCGGATGTCCGATATGTCTTCTACCTACGCCGGTGATATAGCCCTCGATGGCAACAGTATACTTTGGATTCTACTCAATGATTGCCTTGTTGTTAATTAGTCTTGTATGTTGTGGTATTCATAATAACCCTTGTTATAATTACATATGTTCGGACCTCAATCGGCTATATATATCTCACTCACCTTAGTATACTTCTACACGATTCTTCCATCGGGATATTCTTTGTGTATAAAATGACAGCCACTTTGGAGATATGATTATAATTACATATCTGGCTCTTCCAATTTCTGTCAGTGGAAATATTCTACACAGCAGGCATTACGCTTTCACTATCTAACTAGATTTTCGACTTTACCATACGGTTGGTCATCAAAGCTGTTCTGCTCCCCATGATTTTATATTTCAACGTCTGCGTTTATAGTTACTTTTAGCCATCATCATGATTACACACGCCGCTACTACACAGCTTTTATAGATCATATTCCTATGCTCGTTGTGGTCAGGACTCTTGATATCCTAATGTCGAACTATATATTCCTTAGGCCTTTTATAGTAATCCTACCTGCGCTCCATTGTCCTTCTTGTGTTTCCTATGGCTTCCTCCTATAAAACTCATCCAAGTGAGGTGAATGTAGGTCAAACTTCTACTGAGCTAGTGGACCCAGACAGACATTGGAGAAGAACTTGGATAATCGGCTCTCACTCGGTAATTTTGGGGAAACTTTTTGATTGTTGATTTTGAATCTGACATTTTGCATTTTCGGACTTTGAATTGACTCTTTCCATTTGATAAGGACACCCCTGTGTAGTTAATCCTTCACTGCAGAACCAGACCTGGGATAGGAATGATGTAGTTTCAAGATATCCATATGTAGCACACTGTAGGACGTTATCGAGTCTTTCCCGACGACGAACTATGTAGTACTACCAAATTCAATGCTACAATTATAGAGGACAATCTTGGAAGCTCTAACATCAAACTGGTTAGTTCAACCTTGCAACCTTGGAAATTGTGCCTGCTTACGTGATATCGTGAAACCGCCCCCAATGGAGTAAATGCGGAGCTCAAAGGGTACGTGTCATATGCGGCTTTGCCAAGGCCACCTCCACAAACGCCTCGAGGGCGTTACTTCGGTAGTTTTAAGGGTTGATATGCATATTATTATACGGAGTACGGGGGTACTATGGACAAGATTGGTAGACTTTCATGTTTCAATGTTCACTACTAATACCTAGAAGAATTCCAATGCCCTGGGGGCTAGATAGTTCTCTCGTGTGCTCACCTGCTATTTTCGGAGTCTTGGCGGGGGCGGAAATTCTCAGATTAGGGAGATTCTGCCTTATGATGATGGGGGATTGCTGATCTTTGCCTCCCAAAGTCCTTGTGGGATATTACTTGCACACATAACGTATCTCTGGGCACGTGTGGACAGTGGACCCTATGTGGATCTTCTCGTCTTCCATGATTATTCTTTGAAAGCTCTCCTTATTTCTTATTTCTGTCCTCTCCAAATCCTTATCGGATCCTTCATTCCTCTTACGCCTCCATTACATCCATGGCTGAGAGAATTCTGTCCCTCAGTCAGTTCAGGTGCAACATTCTTGCATGATTTGAACGCATTCCACCTTTTTTTTTTTTTTTTTTGTACATATCATGAAACCCGCCTGGCAGCTGCAAGGTGGTCTTTCCCAGCGACTGCGTGGAAAGCTTGAATCTGTAGCTATCTTCGCCATCAAAGTTGCCAGATCCCCCCAGGCCCATCTCGACCATGGCTGGGCAACCTCCCGCGCCTATTTCTTTTCGGTCATTTTCATATCCCTCTTGCTCTCCAAAGCCTTCCATATCTACGTCCATCTCAATGCCCTGACAGTGTTATCCCTGCTCGCCTGGGGCCCCACCTTCTTTTTTCTTGATATCCTGCTTATTCTGGGCGCGCGTAGCCTAGCTCGATCATACGAATGGCGAACGACTCGGGATTTAGCAGCCGTGTTTATCACGTTATTCAGGTAGACAGCCATTTATCTCATTCACGGACAGATACGAATTGCTAATTATCTCCCAGCCTAGGTGTTTCGTCGATGATTTCCGCCAACATCTCCTTTTACATCCACATGGACTCGGAGATCCATTGGCACATGTCGAGTGGCTTCCGCAAGGAAAAGCCCTCCGCCGCGACTGTCCTATCCGCCCTGTCCATCGCTATCCTTCTCGAGACGTCGATTTTGGTCGGCGGATTCTATGCCACACCGTATCTGTCCTGGGTCACCGCAGCTTTCCTGAGGGTCTGGGGTGCAGTGTTGTCCGCGACATATCGCTACTTCCGTCCCAATAAGCAAACTCTGCCGCACCCAGATATCTATGAGCAAATCGCAATCGACGACTACGAAATAGGAGATGATAACAGTGACTCCGTATCGCTGCTGGATGCTCCTCAGGCCCCGCCTGTGCAGAAGGGTCGGGCATTGCTGAAGCCCGCTATCGTAGTATCGTGCAGCGCAATCCTACTTTTCCTCCGTGTCATTCGTCCCCACGATATGGCTTACAGTTTCCTCTCCGCATCTTTGCCTCTCGCGCCATTTGGAGGCCTCAGGTTTGGGTCTTCTCAGCGAACTGTTGCATCGTTGCCGGGCGATTACAGCTGGCTAGAAGGAAAAACTGCTCTAGATTCCTTCCCGACATTCGATTGGTTACATTCCGGTGATGCGGCAACTGCCTGGCCGGATTGGTCTCCCTTCCACATAAATCACTTCAACACCACCGACCCAAAGGACTATGTGTATGAACACTACAACCCGATGAAAGATCCGTTGCACATTCCCAACCTTCAAAACGACATTTTGGAGCCCATCCGCGACGTGCTCCACAGCGGAGATGTCAAGATCAAGCATGTTATTCTTATCAAATTAGAGAGCAACCGGCAGGACGTGTTTCCCTTCCGTTCCGACTCTTACATCATGGAGCACATCGAAAAGTCTTGGGACGGGAAGATACCCGAGGAGGTTATGGACAAACTCGCCAATCTCACCCCTATCGCCGAACGGTTCACCGGGTTTGAGACTGGGTTTAAGGAGAACAAGGATCGCCCAACGCCCTATGGCGGCCTCAGCGCGAAAAATGCGTACACATCTGGTACATATACTATGAAGAGTCTTACAGGCACTATGTGCGGTGTAAGCCCCATGGCTGTTCAAGATAATCTTGAGTACTTCCACGATATTTACCAGCCTTGCCTGCCGCACATATTTGAGGCCTTGACCCAGCAATCCAACATCACTAGTGACACTGAAGATTGGACCTCCTGGCCGTGGTATTCTAAGTGGATGCAGTCCCACTATGGCACCTGGGACCACCAGGAAGACCTTACTCCTACCATGGGGTTCAAAGACATCACGACAAAAGAATCAATTAATGAAGCTGGTGCCATATATATCCCGGAGGAGCCAGAGGATGAGCAGAAATACGGTCATCCGGACCACACACTGGAGAACTATATGCGGGATGCATTTGCTGAGGCCAAGGAGAATAACACTCGCCTCTTTATTGGTCATCTAACCCACAATACCCATACTCCTTGGTTCAAACCCGGTGACTACGAGGATTACTTTGGGAATGACGCTGGATGGAACTATAATTTGAACCGGTACCTAAATACTCTCAAGTATCAGGATGACTGGCTGGCCACAATCCTTGGGATCCTCGACGAGGCTGGAGTCGCCGATGAAACCTTGCTTGTCATGGCAGGTGACCAGTAAGTTCTCCCTATTCATTGCAATCTATCAAACCTTTTATTAACTTGATTATAGTGGTTTATCTCTTCCAAATGATGGTGGTATAACAGCCAACCATGACCCCCACGCTGGCAGTTTCCATGTTCCCCTGCTCTTCGCCCACCCCAAGCTACCCCCGGTCGAAATCAGCGGCGCCGTCCTCTCGACTCAGATGCTTCCCAGCATCCTCGATATGCTAATCGAAACCTCCAATATCAACGAACAGTCAGCACATATATTGAAGGACCTGCTTCCCTTATACGAGGGTCAGTCGTTGCTACGTCCACTCATTCCTGAGCAAGATGAGAAGCAAGAGTGGCATTTCTCCACGATGAACCCTGGAGGAACCTGGGTCTCCATGCGGGCAGCCGCGAAACCGTACCGTCTAGTCGTCCCGCTTATCTCGAATGCCCCGTGGCGATTCAGCAATGTTGTCGACGATCCACTCGAGTTCGCTGCCGAAGAAGATCTCGATGTCGTGACTCTGTTTGATGTTGTACAGACACGGCACGGGCCCGAAGCCGCCAGGTGGCTTAGCGAGGCCGCCCATGTGTCCCAGTGGTGGATCGCGGAGAACCACAGACGCTGGAAGTATAGTCCTGACGACCCGAGGCCTTGAACTTCCCTCCGCCGACTTCACAGATTCAATCAGAAGCAGAGAATGCGAAGAGTTTGATGCTAGGCTCCGATGAGGCGCCTGTCAAGGGTGACGTGAATCCAGCCGGACACGTTCCGGCACTTGCACATATATACATAATACCCGTGCCATGTTCGGCATGCAGCACAATTTGTTCAATTTTGCACATAACGGCGGTCTGGGGTTATCGATTCCCCAAGGAATTGGACCCATTTAGAAGACCGTCAACCCGATTACACCGAGTCAATCGGACGACCTTTTTCCTTTCTCTGTCTGCAATTTTACGATGCCTTGTTCGATTTACTAACGCCATTGTTAATTTGCCAGCGGCGATTTTTGAGTATCGCAGTGCATAGCGACCGGTTGGGACTTGATCCTTTTAGCTTCGAGGATCCATCGCTTGTACATATCTCTGCCTTTTTTCGATGTAATTTCTAGCATTTTGGAATCATACATAGTTCAAATCCTTGCCAAGGCTCGAGTGATCTGGTCATAGTAATAATAGCAACATTCCAGCCCGTAATGTCATTTCCTAGTCGAGATCTGGCTCTTCAGTCACTATCTCCATACACGAACATCCTGTCCGTGATGTTAGAAGGTTGATGGGATCAAGTGAAACGAGGTTAAGGTCCTCTATTTGCTAATCTCCTTAGCCATACTCTTTAAGGGCGTCGTCGCTGTTACAACCTACCCCTGGACTGGCGAGTTACACACTAGGCCAAAAGACCATTATGTCTGAGCATTACGCTCAGGTTGTCCAGGCTCCGATATAGTTATACAGTGCATGACATGACAGCCCGAACCATTATGATTCGAACTTCTACTTTGCCTCATTCCGAACCAGCACCCACTTGCCAGGCTCGAGCGAGCAAGTGGTGACCTGTTCGTCCTATATCTTTTGGGCCCGGATTGCTTTATGCAGTAGCACCTCGTTAGCTTCGGCCCTTGCGTGGTTGACAGCCATGATCTAACTGTCAAGCTCGGCCGGATCCCGAGTCGTTGTGACCGGCTCTGTGTCTCCCGGCAAGTGTGGGTGTGTGCCGTAGACGAGATAAAAGATAACTAAAGATCGGCAACATGATCAGCCCAGACAGCATCAACTTTGCCACCTGCTGAAGGTATTTACACCTACCTATCTTACGAACTACATATACAAAGGAACTGGTATTATTATAAGAACAAAACGTGTTAATTTCTCGTATCATGTTTCCGACATGGAAGGCGATGCCGGGCGCCACTCAATGTCCATGTACAACTCTGTGGAGTATAGCTCGCAATGCCCCGTTTAACCCATTTTTACCTTGCTTTTGTTCTGATTGAATACCCAAATATACAGGAAAGGATATACAGTCTCCGGAATAAGGGTAATCACAATAACCGCGATGCTCCAAAACGATCCCACATACTCCCAGTTTCGAGGGATGTTGAGATACCGCCATATGAAAAGACCATAAGCCGTGAAGCAACCTAAATAGCGCACGAGCCTGCCGATAATAATTAATAAAGCTGACCAAAAATGGCGAGCAGGAAAAGCAAGTTGCGTACCAAATCTCCAGGGAATGGCCCAGTAGAGAACGATGTTTCACCAGCCCATACACGTACACCCACCCAGCCGGAAGTTGCAGGAGGATACCAGTCCAATATGCTGTAACTTGCTCGCGGTCGTCAGGGTAGAGATAACCCAAGTACCTCAACCCTGCTAGAGCCGTTATACAGTATACAAGCATCTCTCCGGCAATGCGCTTTCTTTGATCGGGGCCATAGACACGCCAGAGAGCAAGCGCGACAAACGCGAGGTCTAACTGAAACCAAACAAGAAAACATATGATTTCCAGCCGGGTTGATGTAGTCGCAAAGGCGTAGTATAATTCATACGCTAATGTCAAAGACCTATAGCGGACAGTCAGTCACCCAGTCTAATATACCGTGAGAAGTTTAGCAGCGTACATGTACTTGATTGATGCGGGTAAAACCTCGTCCTTGACAGCCCGCATCATACAAAACACATATAAAAGGGCGTATAATACCCCGCAGGAGATAATAAGTCCATCCTGAACGAAAAAGTAGCCCTCTGGTGGGTTTAGACGTGCATCGGCAGGTTGAACGACCAGGTGGCGGATATACTCCGTTAGCCGAAAGTCAGACATATCTTCAGCAATCGACAAGCGAGTTGAAACAGCTTGGAGGTGTCTGGGAGATGGAACTGTGTGAATAAGAAAGGCAGAGAGACCTCGGGATCTTACAGAGCATATGACATCATAATGACATAAGACCGGATACTCCGGGGCCCCGGGCCCACAGCAAGAGAGTTGTTATATCGCATAGTTATATATACGATGAGAGATATATATATATCGTATATCCACTGAGTCTGAAACGGAGTGAGGCTATTGCCGATATTTACCTAGGTAGTAGGGTCGTGTCGTATAAGTATTAGTGGCGGTTATAGAAGAAGAGTCCTAGAACTTGAAGGATTGCTCAAAAGGTCTATAGGAGTGAACAACAATCAAGGATAACAGAAAAGACAATCAAATTATAATTATTAGACCAGAGGATCATGTTAAAGACAAATTCGGCCTTGCGCTGACAGAGAAATAAAGCTTGCTCTCTGGGTCTCATCAAAATCAGAATACATGTCATCGGGGCTGTAAATAGACCCGGCATCACCTAAGTATGGTGAACCTCGAGACATGCAGTAATGAAACTCGGGATTTACACAAAGGGCTTCCACTGCTGCTCACACCACTCCCAAAACCGGGTTGGATATCCAAGTCCCCCTTCATCAGCCGAAGTCATCGCCGTGATGATATCTCGTCGTGGACAATCCTGATCCGGTCGAATCCTTCCCCAAGGAATGATGTAGGCACCATTCTTCTCAAGGGTGATCTCGGATGATAAACCGGCGTAGAGCTCAGTATAGGCCCCGAACTTGGCCTCATGGAGCAAGGGGCTAATGAAAAACATGACAACCGCCGGAGTCCCCGCATAGGAGCCCGCATTGAGATTGCCTGGATTCTGCACCACGCTCACAATGTTGTCCTGGTCGATTTGGGATCGTCGTGCCAACTCCCGGCCCAGCATCCAGGTTCCCACCTTTGAGACTGCATAGTTGCGAGTGCGGTCTTTGGATCCCTTATCCAACACGGTGAAATCAATCCCGTTCGGTGGCGACGCGCCCTCAGCCAGAAAGCTGGATGTCCACACTACCCGAACAGATCCACGAGGTGTCTCGGGTGCGGCTGCGGCTGCGCGTAGCTGCGGTCGCAGAAGTTCGGTGAATAGTAAAGTCGCGATACAGTGCATCCCTACCATAGCCTCGAATCCCTGAACTGTTTTGGCGCCGGCTTCGACTAGGTTTGCTCCAGTTCCTGCATTGTTCCAGAGGACATCGAGTTTGGATTCTTGCTGGGCGAAAGTAGTCGCAGCCCCCTTGACTGATTCCAAGTCGTTGAGGTCAAGATGGAGGAACTTCATCTTGCCGGGCGATTTTGGTGCAGGTTCAACCTTCTCGATGGATTGAATTGCGCTTTCGGCACGCTCCTAGAGAACCGTGTTAGCTTACCGGTACGGGTCATGAAACTAGATTTGTTTTGGGGGGACTTGCCTTTGATCTTGATGCCATGTAGATGGTGGCACCGGAGCCATACAGGATCTTGCATAATTCAAGGCCAACGCCAGCATTTCCACCTGTCACGATGAAAACCCGACCATTCTGTGAGGATAACTCTTTCTCAGTGAAGGCTGGTTTGGGCGGGAACCATTGGGTACGCAGATTCCGGAGGGTGGTGAGCGACATGGTCAGGGAGGTATTCTAATTGAAATACATCTCCATGAGAGAAGTTCCCCATGTTCTTATATGTCCTGATGATTTTATATGGGGGATATGTGTTATTCTTTGTTTCCTCTGCACGCTCAGCCTGCTGACACTGCATGTGCCCGCTGGATTCAAGTGGCTTTCATCCTTTTGCAGGGATCCTCCGGCGAGAAGACCTCCGATCTGCCGACCTGCCGACCAGGTACACGGCCATTCCCCCGTTTTTCCTTTGGCTTTTTCTTCTTCAACTTGGGAAATTTTTGGGATTTCTTTTTTTTTTTGTTAAGCAACAACATACTAGTTACTATGGAAGTTTGGAAGAAAATATCGATTTATATACACCCTACGCATGAAATATGGCAAACCTTTGCTTTCGAGTACCCTCCTGAAAAGTGAAATTATCGGACAGCCCATTGATAGAAATGATCAGAAACAAGAGAAGAAAAAGACTTTATATTTAAAGGACTGAGTATATATTGACGAACTCCCTGTCTCCCCTTCTCTCTGGCTCTATGAAGTGACCACTTTCGCTACAACCTTCTCGCAGAGAGCGATCAGCGATGAAGCGTTCAGAATATCCAAAGTAGTTACTAAAGCCCCAAGTTCAACTCGAAGCCAGTTTCGCACTTCCACGGCAGCCAAAGAATCAATGCCGTAAACCGACAGAGGCCGTCCAGTATCTATGGGCTCCGAGAGCCGGAGAACTCTCACAAAGCACTTATTGACCACCTCTACCGTCGCTGCAAGCTGTGCTGCGGTATCCGGGGATTTGGATCGAAGAAGCAGCAACAATGCCTGAATCTCCTTAGAACCAGCCGAGCTATTTCCCTCGCCACCACCGGTCGCTGTACGCCCAGTGGTCGTAAAGAGACTAGCAAATCGGGCGTCTTGCAACAACTGCGAGTTCTCAGGCTGAGGTACCGGGATGCCGGTAATTATCTGCGTGGTGGAGAGTATCGATGGCGCATCGGCCCGTTGCTGCAGAATTGAAAAGTAGAGGATGCGACGCAAGAGGCCCTCGTTGATGCCAACCCAGATGCTGGTGTCCAGCTTCTGTTGCATGCCATCTCGTTCGTGAATATAACCCACATCTTCAATAACACCCAGGTCGACGGCACAGGCCGGTTGACCTAGGCGACGACGGTAGCTGGCGAAGGAGTCCAGGAACGCATTACCGGCCGCATAGTTGGCTTGACCCTTTTGGCCAACGACTCCTGAGATACTCGACAACATGGTGAAGAAGTCCAGCTGGAGGCCTAGATTTTCAGCTGCGTTGTGCAAGTTCCATGTTCCTTGGATTTTGCATGCTAGTGCGCCGTGGTATTCGTCGACGGACATGGAGGAGAAGGTTCGATCCTAAATGGGTACAAAATACAACCCGATAAGTTAGCCCTCACACTCCTGACTTTGGATTTATCCAAGATAGAATCAATTGGGAAGCGAATTTCTTACCCGTAGCACCATGGCACCTTGAACAATGCCTGCAATTGGCACCGTGGTCTGCTGGAAAGCTTTCTCCACATCATTTTTGTTGGAAACATCCCCCGAAAGGAGGTCAATCTCGCACCCCAAAGCCTGGATTTCTCTGACCACGCCCTGTGATTTCTCATCGGCGTGACCGCTGCGCGAGATAACGGCCAAATGCTTTGCACCACATTTGGCCAGATACACGGCGAGAGAGGCACAAAGACCCTTTAGGCCACCGACAATTAGGTAGCATGCATCACTGCGCAAGTTCAAAGTTTTGGGCGCTCGTCGGACCTAAATATATGAGCATGGTATTCTAAGAATGGGAAAAAGTGACTTACTGGGACTTTGACCACTGCCTCCGCTCCATCCGAAATGACAATCTTGCCGATATGCTTTCCAGCACGCAAAAAGCGGATAGCGGATGGGATATCCGCAAAGGAGAATTGATGGATGGGTGCAATAGGCTTTACGTGCCCTGCCTCGATCATCTGGAATAATCTCGACATCAATCTAAACAAGGATGTTTGCTCGTTAGCGTATGGAATGGACAGGGTGAGCGGTATTCTTACCGAGAAACGAGATGGTCTGGTGCTCGCTCATGCGACATATCCACTGCTCGGAATGAAATGTTTCGATCAAAGGGCTCCATTGCCAGGCTGTTACGATCCAGTATGTCCTTTTTCCCAATCTCAATCATTGTACCCCCATCGGCCAAGATACGCCATGATTCGTCGAGCAAATCACCCGTCAACGAGTTTAGAATGAGGTGCACTCCCTGGCCTTCGGTAACATCAGATATTTGCTTAGCAAAGTCAGTATTTCGCGAGTTGAAGATCCGGTCATCCGAGAGCCCGAAGGTTGATTTGAGGAACTCCCGCTTCTCGTCGGTTCCAATCGTGGCAAAGATCTGTACACCCATAGATCAGTCCTCGAGTTCTATTTCTCGGTAACCAGTCTACTCCACATCAAGTACTCACCTCGGCACCTGCATATTGGCACAGTTGGATTGCTGCGATACCAACACCACCAGCAGCGGAGTGGATGAGAACGCGCTGGCCTTTGATCACATTTCCCAGATCAAACAGGGAATAAATTGACGTCAGGTAAACTGCTGACAAGGTGGAGGCCTGTTCAAAGGTCATCCAGTCTGGAATACGATGAACCCGCCCTGGGGTTGTCTGGACTCGGTTGGCGAACATTCCCTTGTCAAACACCACAACACGTTGTCCCACTGCAAATGAGGTTACTTGTGGAGAGACTCTAGTGATTATACCTGCGCCTTCACCTCCAAGAGTGTGTTCATTACCAGGAACAATTCCCATGGTGACTACAACATCCTTGTAGTTCATGCCAGCGGCAAATATTTCAACTTCAACAAAGCCATCAGGTAACGTCAGAGAATCTACCGGGAGTTCCCAATAGTGGACCGAGTCGATGTTACCTAGTCTTTCAGCACTCAGGCGGATGCGGGCAGTATTCGCATGCAGGTCCACTGATTCTGTTTTCCGGGCACTGGGATCCTCGTCCTGAAGGTGGGTGAGTGTTGTGTCTGGAAGGATTCGGCTCACATGTAGAACGCCCCCACGCTCTACGAACTCGCTCTCAATAAATTGCTTGGCTTGAGGCTCGGCCATGAGAGTGAGACAAGTTTCGATGGCTGTCACCGTGGTAGGCTTCAATGGCTGCTCCACATCCAACACGACTAAACGGAGGAGAGGTTCCTCCGCTCGCAAAACGCGGAAGAAACCACTTATGGCAGCTTTGGTTGGAGCTGTGACATCCATCTGGGCGCCAGAGGTGACCCATAGGATCTGACATTCCTTTTGAACAAGATCCTGCAAGATCTGCCATTGTCTCTCGTCCAGAGAATCCATGACGGTCGTTGAAAGTTCATCAAGGATGAGAACAGATTCATTGGTGCTGGTACCGCTCGCCACATCCAGAACGCTCTCAACAATCCAATTTCCGTTTTGAAGAGATTCAATGATCTGTGAGGGGGCTTTTTGGGCGGTTGGTTGGAGGCTGACGTGTTTGATGATTCGCCGCGCAGGAACATGATCCTCTTCATTGTTTTTAGTGCGCACTCGTGAGCACAAATAAATGTTATCGCTCAACGTGTGGATGTTGCCAAAATTGTTGTCGGAAAGGGCTGCTTGGATATCTATAGTAGGCGTAGAGGTCTCTTGGCCAACCACCACGACCAAACCGCTGCCCTCCATGGACAAATGCACACTTGCTATAACTGCGTTCACTACCTCCGCTGATGCGGAGGGTGAGATTGTCACGATGGCTAGATCGAATTGCACGCCATCTAGGATTTCCTGAGACAAAGCGGGGTTGATCATGGTAAACTCTGCATCGGGGGCCCGTGAGGAATATTGATCCTGCGCTGCAACGAGCGCCGTTGGGTCGGTTGATGCGAAGTGGTACCGTACGCAGGCATCTCGGATCGGGTTGGATGGTGGCGAGTTGCTTTCTAGCCAAATGCTGGTCGCATCTTCTACACCAACCTTGACCTCCAAGACTTTCAACTTGGGATACTTGTGAGCGACAAGATCCACAAGTGTTTGAACAAGGTCTTGTTGTATGGTTAGAGTGGGTGGCTTGGAATCGCCTGGATTGAAGTCGTCGCGTGGTTCTGGTGTGCTTTTTGTAAGGACCTCCTGTAAAACGGCTGTAGGGGAAGACAGTAACGTCGAAATGTCTGCATTCCAGGAAGTTCTAGTAAAGACATGCTGGGGCCGCTCATCCTCGCTTGTTTCCAGCTCTCTGAATTGAAGTCCCTTCATCTCCAAGAGTAGAGATCCATCTTTCGGGTTATAAACGGAACAATCCGTTCCGTAGTTTCTAGGGGTATCGGTGCGTCCGATCCCCAGGTAATGAGCCGATGCAACGGAGATAGCCTCATTTGGAGATTGCTCTTGTGCAGTGATGACAAGACTGCTGATGACAGCTGGTACCAGGACAGCACCGACGGTTGTTCTATCGCCTCCCCACAGGGCTGGGGAAACAGTCTGGAAACATCCATCAATGCAAGCTGGGTGCATGGGATAGATGGACTGCCCGTAAGATGACTCCGGGGGTTGAAGAGAAACTGTCGACCGGCTCTTCCTCTGGCCAGTGATTGTCTCCACTTGTAAGTGCTTTTGGAACGCGGGTCCAAAGTTGTACCCTACATCTGCCATCACTTTGTACCACGAACGTGCTGAACTGGCGAACCGCAGCGCTTCTGCAGCACCTTGCGGCGCATTCTGATCACTGTAGTCCGTGTCAATCCGTACAAGACCGTTGCAGTGTTCAACCCAGGATGTTTCTCTCAACGAAGAAACCTTGAACTCGAACCACGTGCGTGTGGAACCAGGAACAGGAGTCAACGAAAGCATGATCCGAGACGCGAGGTCGGGTTCCAGTACCAGAGCTCGGATTAATTTGACATCTCTGAGCCTAAATCGATACCGAGCTGGTGCCTCGCCTTTCCAACTAGTCATCCAAGCCGTCTGGTACACTGCCTCAACGGCCATGGCAATATACCCAGCTCCTGGGAACACGACTTGACTTCCTAATTTATGGTCCATGAGCCAAGAGACATCCGTCAGTTTCAGTGTTTTCTTGAATATCGGTGCGCTCCAGGAAGTTCCATTTATTTTGGACCCAAGGAGATCGTGGTTGATAAATTGCTTGAATCGCCAATCGGTACTAGCTGTTGTTTCGTGCCAGTATTTGGTGGAGTGGTTCCAAGAGTAGTTGGGGAGATCAACTATAACACCGGGGGTGCGAGGAGAGTTGTGGTGGTTCACCCTTTTCAGTGAGACGGAGCCACCGCTGAGGAAAAGCCATCCAGCCACCTCGTAAAGAGCGACGGTCGCGTCTGTTCCTCTCTTGAGAGCTGCTGTATATTGCGCATCCGCTGCAGCACCCGAGAGGGACTTCTTGATCTGTGTAACCGGACCGGCCAATGCGTTGCTTGGTCCAATTTCCACTAGGAAGTCCGAAGCCGACTTGCTCTGTAGTAGATCTGCTGCGGCTTGAGCAAAGCGTACCGGATAGATCATGTTACTTTTCCAATAGGCAGCGTCCGGTCGTGTTTTCATCAGTTGACCAGTTACGGACGAGAACATGCAAACAGTATTCTTGTTCGATTCCTTGGTGGCAGTGACATTCTCCTGTCGTAAATCGTCATCTTCCAGAAGCAACATTTCATAATATTCGCCAATTTGGGCCATGTATTGGGAATGATAGGCGAGGTTGACGAGTAACATTCTGGCAAAGTGGCCATCTTCTTGCAGGCGATCTCGAATCGTCTCGAGAGCCGAAACTTCGCCTGAAAGCGTGAGACTAGACGGACTGTTGTAGCAGGCAATCTGTACCGCTCCGTTGCTGGTGTCTAGGTAATTTTCCACATCCTCGGCGCCAACACCCACTGCCAGCATGCCAAGGGGGACATCTCGCGTGACCCGTTTGGCGGCATAGCCGCGATAGTATGCGATCTTGATGGCCGCTTCCGGGGTGATCAACCCGGCCGCTGCCGCTGCAGCAATTTCGCCTGAAGAGTGACCGACAACGCTCGTAGGGACTATCCCCCAGTCCTTCATGACCTCAAGAATTGCCAGCTGTAGTGCTGTGACAAGAGGCTGAGAAAACTCAGGCTGCCGCAACGCATCCGCACTTCTGGGCTCCGTCAGTTCATCCCAAAGAGACCATTCTGGTGGTGATAGCGACGTCTGCAGTACATCGTCGAGATGGTGGATCATATTTCTTGCAACTGGGAAGGAATTCAACAGTTCCAGTCCCATCTGAGACCATTGTGCTCCCTGGCCTGTGAACAAGAACCCGACCTTCGGTGAAATGGCCTTTTTCTTGCCAAAGATGATGCGTTCTTTCGGTATTTCCTTTCCCTCTGTGACGACAAACGCCCTCTGGTAATGCCGGGTGCGTCTTTCGGAAAGAGTATATGATAAATCACCCATATCTAGCGATACCCCGGGGCTCATCAGATGTGCGGAGAGTGCCTGGATGTTTTTCTTAAGGGACGGCTCGTCATTGGCTGAGAATACCAGAAGCTTCTGCTCGGTATCTTGTTCTGTCGAGGAGTCATCCTGTTCGTCAAAGAAGTCGTGACCAATCTTCTCCAAATATGACGAAACATGAGGCGAGTTCTCAGCTGACTCCAGGACGACATGGGCATTGGCCCCTCCAAACCCAAAGGAGTTGACACTGGCCCGACGCGTTTTCATGGCCGGCCACTTTATCATGTGTCGAGTTGCCCGCACGCGTAGAGCATCAAAATCGATATTAGGGTTAGGGTTCACAAAGGTCGGATTGCCGGGAATCATCCCCCGTTCAACCGCGAGAATGGCTTTGATTAAACCAGAGATGCCTGCAGCGGCCTCGGAGTGGCCGATATTACTTTTGATAGACCCGATCACTAGCTCCTGGCCAGGGCCCCGACCTTTAGCAAAGACCGATGCGGCGCCCGCCAGTTCGACCGGGTCACCGGCTAAGGTCCCGGTCCCATGACATTCCAAGTACGCCGTGTCGACGAAACCAGAGATCCCCGCATTGGCATATGCCGCCCGGATAGCGGCAGCCTGCGCCTCAGAGCTGGGACTTGCAATCCCAGGCGTTCGTCCAGCACTGTTTGTTGACGTTCCGCGGATAACAGCGCGGATAGGATCCCCATCCCGTACCGCATCATCTAGCCGCTTCAGGAACACAGCATTGATTGCTTCGGCTTTGACATACCCATCGGCTTTTGCATCAAATGTATGACATTTACCCGATGCTGATTGGGTTGCTCGCATCATGCCGGTCTCCTGGTTATGCTCCGGATTCAACCACATATTAGCCCCAGCGACAATCATTCCATTCGCTTGGTGGGTGTCCAGGTAGCGACATGCCACGTCAAGGGACACTAGACTGCCCGAGCACGCTGTATCGATGGTCATACTATGGTTAAGGTTATCACATGGTCAGTAAAAGAGAATACCAAGAGGGCCGTGGGGCTGTACCTAGGACCTCTAATGTTCAAGAAATGACTGATTCGATTGCTCAAAATGGCTCTTGCCACCCCGATTGTGGCTGAATCTGGTCTGTCCTCTGGATCTCGAGCCTGGATTGCTTCGTAATCTGCCAATAACCATCAGACTTGGTTCTGCTGACTTCTACAGACAACCGAAAGTCGTCTCGTTTCAAATCCACTACTTACCGACTGCATTCGCTCCAACCAAACAGCCGATGGCTTGACCACTAATCGTATCCAATGGTAGGCCTGCGTTCTCCAAACACTCATAGGTGACTTCGAGGAGCTGGCGTTGTTGTGGGTCCATCGCAGTACAGTCGACCGGACTCATATTGAAGAATCCCCCATCGAAGACTTCTGGATCGACGTCTTCCATGAACATGCCGCCGGGGGATTTCATTGTGCGAGGCCGTCTGTGTTTGTCAAAGTGGCCATCGAGATTGAACCGTGACGCTGGGGGTCTGTTCTCCGCGATGCCACCCCGCGCAATGAAATCCCAGAGGGCCTTGGGTGAATTGGAGTGACCAGGTAATCTACAGGCCATGCCAACAACGGCGATAGGTACCTGTGTACGGTTCGTTGTTAGCGGCTCATGTAACATGTCATTGACAATTCCTTCTTGCATGCCATTGTCGCTGGAACACTCGCTAGTGATCTCGGAATGGACAGGAGTTGGTAGTGCAGACGAGTTGTCAGTACTGGGGGCAGTCTGCTGAGGGGCATTAGACTCGTCGTCAGAGGCCATTGTTGGTACAGGATTGTAGATGCTCATGGTAAGATAAAAGTAACCAAGGTGAGATTCCGCTTGATCTAGGAAACAGATCCGGAATATCGCGCTTTCATAAGAGGAATTTCATTCTACTTTTCGGGGAAGTCCCCGGTCTATGGAATTCTTGCAATGGTGTTGATGCGATAACCTGGTCAGGGTATCTTGATACAGTCGTCAGGTAGCTCCATCCAGGACCCATACTCATGCAGGTTCAATCCGAGCCCGGGCAAGCAGTAAGCTGAGAGACCATGCGAGGTAATATCTCCTGTGTGGTGATCTCACCTGCATAAACTAGTAGAGTCTCTTACGGGTCGCGAGACATTGACAGCCTAGGCTCCGGAAGGGGGAACTGCAAATATCCAATTCCAGCTTTTTGTTGGCAAATGACAACCAATCCTCAGTCTCCACAGCGTTCTGACCAAGATTGTAACATAGTAACGATTGCCAAGGCATCTATCCATATGTGTGAATGGAACGGTCAGAACTGCAAGCTGTTAATCTCCTTAAAAGACACTGGCTCGTCCCAAGTGGTTTTGTCCTGGTCGTTGAAGCATTGCTGTCGACCCGAAGAACACGATGCCTCATCACGAGGATGTCGAGTTCAAGACCATGGACGGTCTTACCTTACGAGGATGGCTTTATCCTGCGGCTCAGAAGGGACCGGCTATTATCGTGACTCCTGGTGTACGATCTCACCCTCATCCCCGTTATTGCTTTGGCAATCCCCCATGATAAAATGCTTACATTCTAGCCAGTTCAACTTTACAAAGGAGATGTTTATTGCTGAGATTGCCGAATATTTTCAGCAGGCGGGTTTCACAACACTCACCTACGACCCTCGGTCTATAGGTCAAAGCGATGGATCACCGCGCAATAACATCGATCCCTCTCGTAATGCGGCCGACTATCATGACGCTCTGAGCTTTCTCAAAACCCATCCACTAGTGGACCCATCATGTATTGCCTTTTGGGGGTTTTCCTTCAGCGGAATGGTGGCTTTGACGGCTGCTGCCCTTGACAAGCGGGCTAAGGCGGTGGTCGCTGTCTGCCCACTAAGTGTGTTTGAATATCCCCCCGAGAAATGGCCCGGGGTGTTATCCAAGGCCATGAAGGACCGGGAGTCACAGCTTGGGGGTAATAAGCCCTTTTACATTCCAATGATCACCGATACGGGCGAGAACCCCGCAGGCTTCGGCTCGGGGATCGATCAGGAAGGCTTCAATCTGATCATCGGAGCCAAGTCTCTGGTTCCCAATTTTGAACTGCCGACCACCCTTCAAAGTTACTATCACATCGCCGCATGGCAGCCCTTAGGGCTGATGCCTTTCGTGTCGCCAACCCCGGTCATGGTGGTCACCCCGGAACTCGACCTCGTTTCGCCAGCCATAAAGCAGAAGAATCTAATCTTTGATAAGTTTGATGGATCCAAGCGGCATTTGGTGGTGCCTGGGAAAGGACATATGGATGTTTTGAGTGGAAATGACTTTGGGCTAGTCCTGGATGCGCAGGTGGAGTTCTTGCGTGGCATTTTCAGTGTGTGAGAGAGGAGTGGAGATTTCAAATGGTACTTTAGGATCTCTCTTTAATAAACAAGAACCTACAAGATCCTTCGATCTGAGAGCAATAAAACATTAAACCCTGTTGTTAAAATTGAGGTCCTCATTGTGGGATGTAGAGTACTACGAGTACTACGGCGATCAGGAAATCGCTTGGGCGGCCAGGTCTGAGTTTCCTCCCCCTTTGTCACCCTTTATTGAGCAATTTACCCTGGTCTCTGCTACCCTTGAAAAGGAAAGTAAAATGAAGCTTGTTATGCACATACAAATTTCATACATCTCCGTTTCTGTGATGGTTTAAACTACACCGGATGATACATCTCTATCTAAAAATAGAGATACACAATTTTATATAGATGAAGAGCTCCATTTTACAAAGTGCTGTTTAAGCCACTACGGAAATGGAGCATAATAGTTGGTTGTTTATACGGAGTAGTACAATATATAAAGAGGCCTAGAATGGTCTAAAACCAGATATGATTCAGGCATATTGTGAAGGTCAAAATAAGGTATCAAGGCACCAATAATTATATCTCTGGGTACTACCTAGGTATGATGAATCCCTTCCAAGTAATAACAATCGGCTCCAGTCTGAACCAATCCCGTATACTCCGTACAAGCTACACTATTTAAAAGAGATAAATGAGAGAAAAAGAAAATACAATCTTGCCAAGAAAGTTCGAGTTTTCGTAGGTCCTTAGCTACCTCGCGGCCCTGCGGCAAATGTCAGCTCTGGCGAGAAGGGACGCTAATTCAGGCACGCCACCAGTAATAAATACGGTATTATTTCAAATGCATACAACCAATCCAATAGAGAAAATAGTGTGAGTTACATACTAGTGGTGGTGTAATATTAATTATTGGTATTGGTATTGGTATTACAGGACAAAAGAAAAAGCAAGTAGGGGGCGTTTGCATTAGCGTCCCTTCTCGCCCGAACTGACATTTGCCGCAGGGGTATCATCACTGATCAGGGATATCATCGATATTCACCTGGGAACTCCCATGCAAGTAATCCCCGCATGTAATGTCAGCTGCTAATCTCCACAGTATCTGGACCCTGGATGTTGGGTTTTAGCACGCATTGTACTTAGGGAAAGACATGGAATCACAGAAGAGCCCTACGGACAGCAGCATTGCCGAAGTAAATCAACGCGAGCCGCATTCAAGATAAGATCGAAGAATTATTGGCGTGTGTGATTGCAAAGCTTCATACTCGACACCACATTCGTTTCCGTTCTCATGGTTTCTCTCCCTTCTTTCCAAGCCAAATGGGCCCTCGCGCTAGCTCTCCTTTCATTGTATCCCGATCTTTTAACAGCGAAAGTCATCTCCCACGGCTCTGCCTCTTGTCGATACATCCCGGGTGATGCAGGTTGGCCTACGGAAATCCAATGGCAGGCGCTCAATGTGACCGTCGGCGGTCACCTCATCGCAACAAACCCCATTGCGCACGTATGTCACGATCCAACCTACTCTGCGGCTGAGTGTGAAAATCTCCGAGAAGCATGGGGTACTCCAAATCTGCAGTGTGTATCATTCCTCCTCTTATCCCCCCTCGGAATGAGACCATAAGTTGATGACAATAATCCTGTCAGAGTCCCAGAGCCGGCGGAGATTCTGGCCCCATACTTTCTGAACCAATCCTGCGACCCCTATACGGCCAGATCCAGACCCTGCTTGCTCGATAACTACGTGAGCTATTCAATCAATGTCACCGGAGTGGCCGATGTGGTGGCAGGGGTTCAATTTGCGGAAGCCCATAACATCCGCCTAGTGATAAGAAACACTGGCCATGAGTGCGCGCCCTGTAAGATTCTTTTAGTGCACTTGACCAGGTAACTAATCTATTTGACATTACAGTTTTCTTGGGAAGTCTACCGGGAAGGGTGCCCTTGCGCTGTGGACGCATGACTTTAACGACATCGATATTCTCGCCAACTATAGCAGCAGCTACTATCAAGGTCCAGCAATGAAGATGGGAGCCGGAGTCATGGGGGGCGATGCCTCGCTGGCAGCCAGTAAACAAGGCTATCGGATGGTGGTCGGCTTGTGTCCAACCGTTGGGGTGGCGGGAGGATACACACAGGGAGGAGGACACTCTCTTCTGACGGGGTCGTACGGGCTGGCCGCTGACAACGTGCTCGAATGGGAAGTCATCACTGCGGACGGAACCCATCTGGTTGCCACGCCCACCAGTAATTCTGACCTATTCTGGGCCCTCGGTGGTGGAGGGGGAGGTACCTATGGTATCGTAATCTCAATGACGGTCCGGCTGTTTGAGGAGGGCTCTGTGGGTAGTGCGTCTTTAATCTTCAGCAGCACCACGACCAACGGAACGGATGCATTCTGGGAGGCCGTGGACGTGTTTCAGTCCCATCTCACAAGGATTGTTGATGACCACGGTATCGTGGTGGCATACGTGCTGGGCAATGAAACCTTGAACCTCTACGTGGCGACCGCGCCCAATCGCACGGCGGAGCAAGTCGGGGAGATTTTCGCGCCAATGACCGCGGCGTTAGCCACGCGCGGACTCTCAGCCAATGCCATCAGTTTTACCACTACCGTCGCCGACACATACCGCAACCATTATCTAGCTAATCTAGAACCTGTGTTCGCGACGGCGCGATCGGAGCAGATCACATCAGGGCGCATGGTGTCGCGTGAGAACATGGCAACCAACAGTTCAGGTGTTACTGCGGCCATGCGCACGGCCACGGCCGGTGGCTCTGCGAGTCTGCTCTGCTTGGCGTTTAACACTCTGAAGGGCGTCGCCTCGGTCGCGAACACCGCCATCCAGCCCGCCTGGAATACAGCGCTAGTGAGCTGCGTGCTTTCCCAGGCATGGGACAGGACGATGCCATGGGAATATATGCTTGAGCAACAGGAACATCTCACCACCGTCGTGGATCCGGCCCTGAAGGCGGCAACCCCTGGATCAGGAACGTACCTGAACGAAGCCAACTTCCAGGAGCCGGACTGGCAAGCTACATTTTACGGCACTAATTATGCCCGATTGAAATCAATCAAGGCAAAGTACGATCCAAAGGACTTACTATATGGCCTCACTGCGGTGGGTAGTGAGGCGTGGGAGGCAGATTCGGATGGACGACTCTGCCGAACAGACGTATGATAATTCCGGCTTAATACTGGGGTCATGAATCCTATGAATTAGACTCACTATAGATAGGTCATGGTTTCTTTTTACCTTGAATTATCTAGATTGGCACTCCATAGCTATCTAGATACTCATATATCCTATATAACTTGTGGTGTTATACGAGGGGGCTGAACCGCCGTAGATACGGGCAATTTGGAAAGATATCACAATTGAAATAGAACAAACGGGACACCTCATGATCTCTCCAGTCCCGATCGCCTTCGTTTTAGATTTTGAGTCTTTGACAAATGAAATACATTGTAGTATAACATTGGATTGTAGAACAGTCTAATCCCTTCGTACCTGGGAGTTGAAGTTATTTTTATGGGTCCATTTCCACACATCTACCTCTCACTATGAAATAAGGATTTGTAATAGATTCATAGGGATAGAACCGCAAGAAGAATTAGGATGAGCGATGATAGTGCTGAGTACAGGATTCTCTCATATTCCATTGATTGAAAGCAGCCCGGATTAAAATGTCATTCAACGAGACTGCGAGACAACATTCTGCACGTCGTGTGTAGGAATATGTGATCGAGGTATCAAATTGCATTAATCTCGCTAGTTCGGACTTGCGTAGGAGTTCAAGATTCTTGGCACACAAGAATTTTGACGCATGTAAGAATTGGCATCTGCAAGAGTTGGCGTATATATATACCTCTGAATTAGGGTTAACATCATAAGAGTCCAATACAATGTTGACCGCGAAGAATTAACTTGGGTTTTCAGCGCCCGACCATCCTGCCTAATGATCAAGTATATTTGTAGAAATCAATTTACGAATTAGCCAGACCTACATCATGAAAAGGTCACATTATAATTGAAAAGTCAGCACTGCTGCAGGTCAGCGGGCTGACTATGGAGGGAATCCCACCCGCGTCGACGGAGTTTCACATTTCACCAGTGAGACGTGTTGATCGTCCCCCATTTTACCAATGTACAAATCCGGAAATGACACGAGGTGAGGCGTGGTCTCCGTTCGTCCAGACAGGGGTCAGACAGGGGTCAGACAGGGGTCAGGCAGGGGTCAGCGTTAGCTTACAATGCAGATATTGCTTTCTCCGACTTCTTCAATCATCCATGTTGCTTATTCGCATTATCAGCGCCTGGATTACATGTACGGTCAATACGGATTCTTCCGGGTGTGTGAGTGTCGTTGTACGAGCGTGGCAGCGAGGAATTGATCTTCTCGGTGTCCAGCCCACCATTTCAGTAAGATAATCTCTCTGGGCACTATATGAGAACAACCAAATGACTCCGCGGTGTTTCTCAACTTGATCAATGCTACGAAGGTTTTCCATCCCTGTTACCTAATAGCTAGTCATCCAGATGCAGAGCGCTCATCCTTTCCAAAGCCGGGTTCTTCAATGGATACCAATGCAGGAATCTTTCAACGGATGGACAATTCCTTGCCTATTGGTCGGCGCATGGGTAGCCTACAGCTCTTGGCTGGGGATCTACCGCCTATTCCTAAGCCCTTTGGCTAAATTCCCGGGTCCTAAGCTAGCCGCTCTCACGCAATGGTACGAAGCATACTTTGATATGGTCAAGAAAGGTGGCGGTCAATTCCCTTTCGAAATCAAGCGGATGCACGACAAATATGGTCCCATTGTTCGTATAAACCCCTTCGAGCTTCACGTCGACGATCCAGACTTCTACGATGTGATCTACGCGACCAATAAGGCATACGACAAAATGGAGCACTTCCAGCACCGTTTCAACGTGCCCCTGGCTACTTTTAGCACGTCTGACTCAGACGAGCATCGCATTCGCCGGGCGGCGATCAGCCCCTTCTTCTCCAAGAGTCGGGTCCGAACCCAAAACGAACGAATCCAACAGCTCGCCTCCGCCATCTCCCAGCGACTGACTACGGAGTATGCCGGGCAGAACAAGCCTCTGGACGTGGCTAACATGTGGGGTTGCTACACAGCGGATGTCATTATGGATATTGTCTTTGCGCGCCCCAAGCACTTTTCACGGTACCCGGACTTTGAGTCCCCATTCACACTCGCCATTCGCAACATGTCGAGCTGGGCTCATGTCACTCTGCATTTTGGCTGGATTTTGACCATAATGAACCAATTTCCGGACGGAGTTGCCAAGGCCCTGTTTCCTCCATTCAGACCAATTATTGAATTCAAAGAAGTGAGTAGGCCCGTAATGAGCTACACGCTAAAGCAAACCCCCGAAGCTGATGGTTGTGCATCGAACTACAGGAGATGGCTAGTGAAATTACCGATATCCTAGAAGGTCGAAACGAAGCTGCCAAGGATGCTACCTATTCAACGGTCTTTCACGATCTCCTATCCTCGAGCTTACCTCCCACAGAACTACGACCAGCGCGCCTCAATGATGAGGCTGTGAGCCTAGTGGGCGCAGGAACCGAAACAACGTCATGGAGCCTAACGATTGGAACATTCCACATCGTTAATAATCCGCATGTGGCTCTGAAGCTGAAGGATGAGCTGGCCCAAGCGATCCCAGATCCCAATGAGATGCCCTCTTGGACAGAGCTGGAGAAGCTTCCGTATCTGAGCGCAGTGATTAAGGAAAGTAAGTTAATACCAACTTTTCTTCCACATTTGTACCCTCACATCAGTCCATCACGCTTAAGACCCTCCCAATTCCAGAGCGGAGAAATACTGAGAAGAGGAACACGATCAAAGGCTAACATGGACATCCGTTTTGCTATGTGTATAGTGCTTAGGATGGCGTTTGGCGGCGTTGAGCGCCTCCCTCGAATCAATCGACATGGGACATGGACCTATGCAGAGTGGAAGATCCCCGCAGGAACCCCCGTGGGCATGGATCAGTATCATATGCACATGAATAAGGACATATACCCCGACCCGACAACTTTCCGGCCGGAGCGGTGGTTGGGAAACCCCAGAGCCCCCCACGGTGAGAAGCCCTTGACCCATTACCTAACACCATTCGCCAGAGGCACTCGTATGTGCACCGGCCTTAACCTGGCCTATGCGGAGATTTTCATCGGGATAGCCACTATTTTCAGGCGGCATGAGTTTGAATTGTTTGAAACGAGTAGGCGGGATGTGGACTTTTACGCGGAGAACCTTAAGGCGACGCCGTGGCCGGGAAGTAAAGGGGTTCGCGTTTTGGTGAAAGAACTCAGATAACAAGGAGGGGATGGAAGCACATTAGAGTTCAACGAGGGAAAATGGCGATAACCAGCTGTTCGAGTCTAGATCAAGATTCAAGAGTCAGAATTACAATCAACCACTATCACAAACCAAGACAACAATACCGAGACTCTCTTTTCTAAGCGCAAGAATTCTCTAATAATATCCCGGGGATCCTTGGGCTCTATCAAACACTGGTGCGATGTGCCGCACTGTTCACCTCTCATCCCTAACGTTTCTTCCGGTGGCTGAGGATGGTATCCACGACAATAGTATAACCCGCACTAACTGCCAGGAACAGTGGCGACTTCCCATCCTCATCACACATCTCATTATCAGCCCCATTATCTAGCAGCAACCCGACAGCTGCTTCGTGGCCCTGCTCGGCTGCGAAATGCAATGCAGTGCGTCCCTGTGCGTCACACTCATTAACGCCTGCCTGATGCTCTAACAGGGTCTGAAGCATACTGCAGTTCCCGTTCCGAGCTGCGACATGCAAAAGAGGCATCAGTGACATTTTGTCGGTCCGTGATGATTTGATATGATACTGTGGATTGTGTTGATGAGATGGTTGGACAAGCCCGATTTGGGAAGAAGTAGTCGGGTTGTTGTCCCTAGAGGTCGCTGGTATGCTGCAGTTGCTGCAGCCTTTTTCCATTGGGGATGTATCGCCCATGAGGGGAGCAGCAAAGGAAGGAAATAACGATGAAGACATCGTAGCACTTGCGCTAGGCTGGTAGGGTGGGACCACAGCAGGACTATACTCTCCCTGGGAAATCACATTGGAGAAGGTATGGGAGCTGCCAGGCAGTACTTGTTTGACATGTAACGGGTTGACCAGAGCTTCTGGCCAATGAAAAGAATTTCCAGAGTCTCTGCACGGGGGGAAGTAACTTGTTCTGTTCCCCGGGGTTCTCGGGTGGATGCATAGGTCTATAGCTTCCGCTGTGGAGCTATTGTTGTGATAATGGGGATTGTTTGCTGTGCTATTGGGAGCGTGACACGGCTCAGAGTACCTAGCTTGGATTTCAGATCCGCTCCAGCTGGCTGATTCGGTCTCTATAGACACTTTGTCGCTTTCTGTGTAGGTCGTACAGAGATCTATAGGTTCATCGTCCCAGCTCCAGATGTTTTCATTTGCGTGCTTTTGCTTCTGCTCCTGTTTCTTCTCTATCAAGAATCAAAACTCAGTTCTATCTCTGATTTCTCGGTCGTCGTTCCACGCAGGAATTAGCTTACCTCGGTATCTCCGTTGGGCCAGCCTGTTTTGCAGTCGACGGCGTTCTGTTGAAGTGGAGGAATCCAAATATAGCTCCATGAGTTGCAATTGACCCAAATCCATGATGAATTTCAGCCTCAATGCGCGCTCCGCTTTTGTGGCAAACAACGATTGAGGTTGAGGGGGGATTACAATGACTTCGCGGTCAATGGCAAGAGACATTCACCACGTTGAGCTACTTATCACAAATCTGATATTGATCTGCCATCTTGGCCATTCTCTATAACTCACTGTCACTGGTCCCCGGTGGTTTCTTTCTTTCGTAATTGAATTTCAGGATGAGGACAACATCCATGGATTCCTATTGGCAGTTTAGCCTGGCTGTTCCTGGATGTTTAATACTCTGTACTTATCATTAGCGCCACGCTTTCCTTCAAATTGGAGGTCCGTGTGTTCCCTAATACCCTGCGATCCCCCTATGTTCTATTTACTAGAATGTCTTCTCGGTCTGCTGTCATTCAAAGGTGCGCTGGGCTAATGAAGCACCGGTCCCATTCCTAAGTAATCAAAATTTTAACGTGGTAGATTCAAAATTTTCCAATCAGGTTGAGTTCCTTAAGTATAGGGAGGGGGGAGGGGTCTAGTTTCCGCTTAATCTTCACGGTCACACTACAATTATAGTTATATCAATGGATGTAGAATGCGGATGAAGCTAAGGTCTAAGGGTGTTTTTTTTTTAAATCTTTTTTCTCCCACCCCTGTTTCTTATTGTCAAAACAAGTTTCATCGTATTTTAAGTATTAGAAAGGGTTGTAACTACAGGGTTCAAATTGTGCAAGTCTTTTTTTGATGGGGCGACAGGGGGGTGCATACGAAGGGGCATAGCCCTCATTTTGATGGCTTGGTGTTTGATTTTAAACATGGAGTCTATCTTAGTTTAGACCGCTGCTTGGCGTCTCTACAACTGTGCCAAATGCCCAGGACACCTCCGTGCATTGGTGCGCCTTGGAAGATACCAGTTTTCACCAGACGAAAGGACTTTCATTAAAGAACTGTAGTTTTAGCCATTTGAACCGTTATCCTCGTAACTAGCCGATGTCTACTATTTTCGCTTTGATCTAGTCCACGCTATACTTAGGCAGAAAAGGGTAGGGTAGCCCTTACAGCCAGGAGTATACGCGTCAATCGTTGTGAATTTCCGTCATCAAAGTAGATATCTCCTCGATCTAGTATTCACGTTGTGGGGTGATGATGGTATTTGTATATAGTGCTAGGAGTTAGAGATAGGGCTCTCTATTGAGCGGGTTATAGTGGACAATCATTTTGGACAAAAGCTAGACCAGTAAGGATCTCAATTAGAATATCTATACTAATTCTAGATATTCAATTTATATAGGCTCGTGTTTTAGCTACACGAGGCTCAAGATCTTTGTGAGTCACTCGGCAAATGAGAGCTAACTAACTATAGACAACACTACAATTAGCCCGAGGTTAGCCTGTGTACGATTCTGTTCACCCACCGGATTGTCACTATATATATCTATTATATGACCTACCTATATAAAAGCTACTTAGGTACCTTTACTGACCCTCCAACTAGACAAAGAAAAACAAAGGCACAAATATGTAATGCAAGTCTAGCTTATTTACTTTACTTACTCCGTACTAACTGTCGATAATATGGAAGAATGATAATAAATTTAAAACGACACTATATATGGAATTATATGTAGAATGATACTAGGCCCTTTCCTTTTATTTTCGTATATTTAATATTTCTTACTAAAGCTTTCTTAAATGGAATAGAATTCCTTTACACTATGCATATTTTCTCATATCATCTCTAAGTAGTTCCAGGGTGGATAAAACTTGAATGATAGCTACGAAGTACCTATGTGTTCTTCGTATGGGCAGTATGGACAAGTTATACAAGAGATATAAAATTTCTAGACCTGGTATCTATATACGTAAAGTGATAAAAAGAGACCCTACGATGGGCGCTCCGCTTAAAGATATCTAGATCGGAGGCCGGTAAGCCCGAACAAGGGAGGAGGGAAGAAGTCTATTGTTGTGATGGACTAGAAGGGGCTGTAGGTAGTTATCAAGCAATATCCTTAGATATGTTAGAATACCTCTGTTCCATATGCACTGAGAATTTCCTTTTCTGGTTAGTTTTACCATTTTAGGTTTAACTTCCAACACGCATGTCAACTCGGCAGCCAATCGGCAGTCAATCGGATATTAAAATGTCAAATTGTCAATGCTTCCAAGATTCCTTTGGATATGCCCAATATCCCTACTAGATTAGTTAATTACTAATTCAATGGAAATTAGTTAGTTACAGTCCCGGGGATATCTGTGGACTTTTAAGTTGAAAAATCTTGGCTAAATATCGACAACGTCTTGGCACTTGGCACTCCATCCATTCCGCCAGTGATAGATCTCATAGTTTCACGTGGCTCACCACGTCCCTGAACCATACAACCGGGAACTGGGTATTTTCTGTACATATTAAGACATGTTCCTGCCGATCCTGGCGAGCTGTAAGGTCATGCCGTTGTTGGTCATTCCGATTCGCTGATCATAACAAACGCCAGGTTAAATGTTGGATGCCGCGAGGTGGCTGTGACTATGTTATACCTTCAAAATGGAAACCAGCGTAAATTTTTTCTTATATATGAGCCAGTAAAGCACCTGTTAGATTGTAGTCACTAAGGCAATCCCAGCAGTTTGACTTCTCAATTTCTTCTTACCTTCCAGTTGACTCGTTTCTGCCGAAATGAAGCTCTCCTGGTCTCTCGTGCTGTCATCTGCAGCCGCAGCCACTGCGAGCTACTCGGGCAATCTGAACTACCGCAGTCCGTCTGAGCACCATCCAGGACTCGGTGTCTCCATTCACCGTGTTGCGAAGCGCGGGGTCCCCGGATCGTCCTTTGACCCATCCAAGTTGCACTTCACCCATGGCGTTGCTTCTGGAGATCCCTATGCAGACTCGGTGATTCTCTGGACTCGCTGCTCGCCAACTTTCGATGATGTTCACTCAAATACCTCTACGCATGGTGTTGTTCCATTGTACAACCCAGTCCCGATCTACTCAGGGAATGAAGATGCAGAGCAGGTGGCCGTGTCGAATGCCCCTGTTTGCTTGGATTACAAGGTCTCTAAAGATGAGAGCTTCAAGCACATTGCAGCAGAAGGCACCGTGTATACCAGTTCCGACATTGACTATACTGTTAAGGTAAGCAGGCTATTTATGGATCGTAAACTAGGGAAAGTCGCTGATTGAATTACCAGGTCGAAGCATCCAAGCTGAAGCCATTCACCACCTATTTCTACCAGTTCCAAGTTTGCAATTCGGACAACAAGAGCCCGGTTGGAAGAACTAAAACTGCTCCCGATTCGAAGAAGGAGGTCGAGCAGGTCAACCTGGCCGTTTACTCTTGTGCCAACTTCCGTATGTCTCCGCATTGTGTCTATGTGTGTTCGTGTATTGACAGAAAATATAGCATTCGGTTTCTTCAATGCCTACGGACACTCTGTGCGCAAGGATTCCGTGGACTATGTCGTCCATCTCGGGTAAGTGGTGCTTGATATTTGCATGAGACCTCAGACTGATTGTGTAGTGATTACCTCTACGAATACAAGAATGGTGACTAGTAAGTGGAATTAACTCGAGAGTGTCGACAACATCAGCTAAGATTCACTTAAGTGGCTGGGGTAACAGCATGGGACGCATCCCTCTGCCGGACCGAACCATCCTCACCCTTTATGACTACCGCAAGCGCCTTGCCACCTACAGAACCGACTTGGATCTGCTTGCCAGTCATCAGAACTTTGCTTGGATCCCTGTCTGGGATGACCACGGTATGGCCCTATCGCATTCACAAAAGACCTGTTTGGGTTCTAATTGCAGCAGAGGTCGCCGATAACACCTACCGGGATGGCTCTTCGGAGCTCAAGAACGACGAAAAGTCATTTATTCAGGACGGAGGTGTCTCCGTTGACCAGCGTAAGATGAACGCCGTCCGTGCTTACTTCGAATGGATGCCTATCAGGTGAGTCGTCCGTGACTAGTGCCAAGTGGTACGTGCTAACCGAGCCTAGACAAGTCGAGATGGACGATAACCTTCGCATCTGGAGAAACTTCAAGCTTGGAAAATTGGTGGACCTGATCATGCTGGACACCAGACAATACGACCGCTCCATCACCGATACCTACGATAACACTAACTACATCGACGAGATCAAAGATGATGCCGGCCGCACTCTGATGGGAAGCCGTCAGGAGAACTGGCTGCAGCGTAACCTGATTGAGTCAGCCAACCGTGGTGCTCACTGGCGCATCCTCGGCAGCCAAATCAGTATGCCTTTCTTGACCCAAAACTTGCAAAGTTAGCTTATACTAACAGGATTATTGCAGTTTTCTCTCAGTTGAACATGTCAGCCACTATGGGCGCCGAACAACCACTGAACCTGGATGCTTGGGATGGTTATATGGCGAGCAAGAACAGAACCTTGCAGACTCTCTACGACAACAAAATTGGAAACAACATCGTCATTGCGGGAGATACCCACGTCAACTGGGTCAGCGATCTAGCCTGGCTCGACCACACCCCTTACGACGCCAGCACTGGGTCTGGCGCCATCGGTGTGGAATTCGGTGGAACGGCCGTCAGCTCTCCTTCCTCATTCGGACAGAACACCACTATTCCTGCGGCAAACAATATCTCCCAGATCGTTGCCACTGACAGTGAGTCCCTGCAGTGGTCTGAGGGATACTACCGTGGATACTTTGAGCTCCACATCACCCCAGAGCAAGTCAAAGCTCATTTCTTCGGCTTGCCTACCACCAAGGAGCGCGACTTTGGAGAGATCTCCCTGGCCAACTTCACTGTTAAGAGTGGCGAGAACCATTTGCAACGGAACTCGGCCAATGCGGCCGCTGGCGGAATCGTGGAGAACGGGTTCCTCAAGAATGGAAAGGTCGTGCAGAGTGGCATGGTCCACGATACTAAGACCGGTCGTTACTATTCGAACTAGTATGGTAATGTTTGAATGGGATGGTAGAGAGAGAGGGTTGTAACAGCACCAACTGTACTCCCCATAAATAAAACGCTTACAGCATATATCTTTCAGGTACAGCAGAATTGAAAACAGTTTACCCCGAGTCACTCGCCCTGTGTTTGTTGCCCGTATCTGATACCGCACGAGTCTATCTCGATATTATTATTAGCCATAAGCAATGCTTCCCTCAGAGTACAACACACCTAGATATTAAACTGCCGCCAATCCAAACAGGGATTAGTGTGGTCTCGGAGACGGGCCGGCAAACAACCTTGGATACTTCCAAGGTTGGAATCTTAAAAGCGTGAGCCAATGAACTGACTCCCCATATAAACTGGCACCCCTGTGGTAGCTCGTCTGTCTCCTTCCTTGCCATGGCATACGACCCTGCGAGGACAAAATAATAAAAGGGGCCCGAAGGCCTAGCTGATTTTCATTGGATGATGATGCTTGTGGAGAGGGTGAGCTTACCTAAGATATTTACGTAGCCCTGAAGGGCTTCCAATTCCAAGCTTCATAACTAACTACCTGATTTATGGGCATTTGCTTCAGCAATCTCCTCATTCTTCATTCCTGTGCTCTTGTAGCTCTATCACAAATTGACCTGTTAGGTCATGCAAAGAAATCGAATTGTGACCTGTGACGTGGCCATGCAGGAGCAGTCAAAAATAGACACAGCTACTCCAGCCCCTCCAGGGCTGCAGTGCAAGGCGCAGCAAGGCGAATCATATGCGATGAAAAGGCGCCCTTCAGACATGGTCAAGTGATTACGGGGACTCTAACTAAACGTCTCGCAATGGGGGGTTCTCCCTGGCGATACGTTCCATTTCAGTTTTTTTTTTTTTTTTTTGGTCCAATCTGTATATATTCGCTTTGATCTAATACCCAAGACGTTGAATTAGATCCCATTGACAAAAGAACTCGGCCTCCTTTGGCGTGTAGCGAGAATGAGGTTTATATCGCGACGACGGGTTCCAGCCGAAAACCAGGATAATTCAAAAACCTTCCCGTCTGGTATTGAACCGTTCTATACCCCATATAATGGAGATATCGAGTACATACCTTGTTAAATCCAAAAAAGAAGGCACTAGTTAACATTATCCTTAGCATCATCTTCATTCACGGCCTTACCGGCGATCGCGATGCGACGTGGACTGCTAGTAACGCGATCGACCCCTGGCCCAAAACCCTCCTTCCACCTATAATTCCGACAGCCCGCGTCCTTACATTTGGGTACGATGCAAATGTCGCCGACTGGAAAGGAGTTGTGTCGCAGAGTCGTATCGCAAACCATGCGGGGAATCTGCTAACCGCTCTCTCAACGTACCGAGAGAACGACGACACGGTAGGACGTCCAGTTTTGCAGATACGGCAGCATACTGAAGCATGTAGAATGAACGACCAATTATATTTGTCTGCCATAGCTTAGGAGGGTTGGTCTGCGAGGATGTGAGATGGATACCCCACTTTGGTTATAGGGGCTGCTCTAATACCCCAGATAGGCCTTGCTCACATCGAACCAACGCCCAGAGCGACACCTCCGTAATATCATCCATTCCACCCAGGGTATTATATTTCTCGGCACACCGCATCATGGATCTGGCCTTGCTAAATGGGCGGAGGCCTTATCACGATCTATCGGCCTCGTCAAAAAGACGAATTCCAAAATAGTCGGTGTCCTCAAACGTGATTCGGAGGTACTCGCGCGGATTCAAGACGGCTTTCACACAATGGTCAAGGCACGAAGTGCACAAAGTTTGCCGCCGATTGAAATCACTTGCTTCTACGAAGAAATGCCTTTGCCGGGTATTGGTTTAGTGGGTTAAGCAAATCCATGATCCTCCCTGAATACTAACATCGAGGCAATAGGTTGTGCCACAGGATTCGGCGATCCTGCCAGGCTACATCCCCATCGGAATCCACAGCAATCATATGGATATGACCAAATTCGCCGGTCCCGCCGACCCTGGGTTTTTGGCTGTTTGTGGGGAGATGAGACGGTGGATCAAAGACCTAAAGCCAGGTAACAAATGCCACGCGAATCAACCACAGGCGGGCTCAACTCTGGATGAGCAGCCGGCTCCCTCCAAGCAGTACGGTGAAAACAATCGCCAGTACAATAGGTTCGGGGGCATGCAAAAGATCGAAGGCGGTTCTTACTATGAGGTCAATGGGGATCAGCATCAGCAATTCGGTACAGCCCCCATCCCCGCAGAGTTTGTGGAGGGAAAGGCGGATAGATACTTGGACCTGAGCGAATATTAACGTGGAGAATAGTGCATAATCATTTTGAAGCCAAGAAAATCGCAAAGTGTTCGTCTTATCCACTCACGGAAATTCGCAGTATCTAATATTCTTTTCTTAAGCATATCATATGATCCCATTCCCGCGAAACGATGACATGGTCGACCGCACCGCTATCGTCGCCGAGCTCGACGCCATTATGCAGGCTCCTAAATCCCGTAGCGCTGCCCTCTGGGGCCTCGGCGGATCAGGGTAAGGTTAATTGTGCTCTTCTACATAAGCTAGCTAATGATCGAAGGAAAACGCAGGTAGCGCTCGAATTCGCCTGGCGCCACATCGAGGACGGTGTGTGCTCCGTTTTTTGGGTCCACGCGGATAACCGGGCGACGTTCACACAGGACTATAAGGCTATCGCGGACAAGCTAGGTCTCCCAGACGACCTCGACGGTGAAAAGTTACTCACGGCAGTGCGCGACCGTATCGAGGGCCAGTCGCGATGGCTGATTGTTCTCGATAATGCCGATGACCTAGCAGTCTTTGGTGTCGGTCCGGCAAGGGGATCGGCGGAAGAATCGCCCAGCCTATACACTTACTTACCAAAAGGAACAAACGGGACGATGCTATGGACGAGTCGCGACGAACGGATCGTCGGTACCCTCGTCGGTGCACAGTGTGGTATCCCGGTCGGCCGTATGAGTAATGAGGAGGCGATCTGTCTCCTTGGGAATCTGAAGAACGGCAAAGGCGAACTAAGCAGTGAAGAGGACAGCGACGCAAGAAAATTGCTTGAAGAGCTCCAGTGGCTACCACTAGCCATTTCACAGGCCGGTGCATTTATGAGGCGAAGATCAATGCCAATACAGCAATATCTATCTCGACTATTAGTGGGACAGGAGCGATGGCGAGTCCTCAAAGCGGAGCAGTTCGACCGGCACCGACGGCCTGAGGTTCCGAACAGTGTTTTAGAGACGTGGAGCATATCCGTCGAGCGCATCCGGGAAGAAGACGAAATGGCGTATAGGATCCTCCAGGTCATTGCGTACGTCAACAACCAAAACATCCCGATCGAGCTTATGGCGGCAGTGGATACGCTGGGCAACGAGCGACAGGAGCCTTCGTCATTTGAGAGCCAAGACCGATTCATGGAATCTATCACGCGGCTAAGGGAATTTTCATTTCTCAGTATACGTGAAGAGGAAGAAGGGGTCGCGCAGCAGTACGAGATACATAAACTTGTGCAAGAGGCTACACGATACGGACTCAGTGTAAGGACCACGGAACACGCGGCATACTTCTCGAATGTAGCGCTCCAAGTTGTGGAAAGGCTCTTTCCTGATTCGAAGCCTGAGACGTGGCGGGAATGTGAGAAGTACGTTACCCATGCGGTGGAATTGGGCAAGTGGGCAGAGGTTTGCGAGAGGCCCATAGAGGTAGCAGATCTTTTGGGCCGGGCTTCGGGCTATTTCCACGACCGTGGTAGGTGGATAGATAAGCAGCCGGTCGATGAGAGGACGTACGAACTGCGGCAGCAGGTGCTCGGCGAGAAACATCCCGATACGATTCGGAGTCTAGGATCCCTTGCGGCTACCTACTACGCACAGGGCCGGTATAGCGAGGCCGAGCGGATGGTGGTCAAGGCCTTAGCCCTACGGCAGCAGGTACTCGGCGAGAAACATCCCGATACGATTTGGAGTCTAGGAAACCTTGCGGCTACCTACTACGCACAGGGCCGGTATAGCGAGGCCGAGCCGATAGAGGTCAAGGCCTTAGCCCTACGGCAGCAGGTACTCGGCGAGAAACATCCCGATACGATCCGGAGTCTAGGAAACCGTGCAACTATCTACTACGCACAAGGCCGGTATAGCGAGGCCGAGCCGATACAGGTCAAGGCCTTAGCCCTACGGCAGCAGGTGCTCGGCGAGAAACATCCCGATACGATTTGGAGTCTAGGAAACCTTGCGGCTACCTACGGCGCACAAGGCCGGTATAGCGAGGCCGAGCCGATACAGGTCAAGGCCTTAGCCCTATGGCAGCAGGTGCTCGGCGAGAAACATCCCGATACGATCCGGAGTCTAGGATCCCTTGCAACTACCTACTACGCACAGGGCCGGTATAGCGAGGCCGAGCCGATGGAGGTCAAGGCCTTAGCCCTACGGCAGCAGGTGCTCGGCGAGAAACATCCCGATACGATCCGGAGTCTAGGAAACCGTGCAGCTGCCTACTACGCACAGGGCCGGTATAGCGAGGCCGAGCCGATACAGGTCAAGGCCTTAGCCCTATGGCAGCAGGTGCTCGGCGAGAAACATCCCGATACGATTTGGAGTCTAGGAAACCTTGCAGCTACCTACTACGCACAAGGCCGGTATAGCGAGGCCGAGCCGATGGAGGTCAAGGCCTTAGCCCTACGGCAGCAGGTACTCGGCGAGAAACATCCCGATACGATTTGGAGTCTAGGAAACCTTGCAACTACCTACTACGCACAAGGCCGGTATAGCGAGGCCGAGCCGATGGAGGTCAAGGCCTTAGCCCTACGGCAGCAGGTACTCGGCGAGAAACATCCCGATACGATTCGGAGTCTAGGAGACCTTGTGACTACCTACGACGCACAGGGCCGTTATAGTGAGGCGGAGACGATGCAGGCCCAGGCCTCGGAGCTACAGAAGCAAGTTCTCCGCGGTAAAGATCCCGATGCACTTTAGAGTACATTTGCAATTTGCGGTACCAGATCGTGCAGGATGTGCTGCTCGAATGCCCGGCGTTTGATAACTGAAGAGGGAGATAGTCAACGAACTGGATGGATGTGGCGGGTCAATGGCCTCAGGGAACGATGAGACGCGTGTCGGATTCCATGGCCAAAATGGGGGCCACGGGAATGGAGGGGAATACAAGTGCGACTGTCAGTGATGGCAATACTCAAATGAAACGAATCACCAAACAGGCTCAGACAATTCAAATACCGACGAAGCATCACACAGAGAATGGCCACCGATCTATGCCATCCTCCTCAACATCAGTATTAGGCAACCAATTGAAAAAACGGCAGTCGATATCAAAAGCGAGGATGATGAAGTGCCAGGTGGGCGCAAAACCCGGATGTCTTCAGCTCCCAGACTTGGAAGCAATGTTCTCGCAGGTGCGTGCAGAAGGCGATTCTGGTGGTGTGGGACTTCGATGATGCGAGAAAGCTGGAGGGGATGAGCAGGGATTTGAGGATGCGGAGTCGATGGTGAGGGAAAGCGGACCATTTCATGAGGCGGTGATGTCAATACATCTAAGCTGTGTCACTCCTATGTAGGAATGTCCACGGGTATGCAGATTTACCGCATACGCAGGTTTAACGTATCGAATAGTACTCGCAAAAGCCATCCCCAAGCCCCAGTTTAGGGAATCCACAACTCCTACTCCCCCACCTTTCCCTTCCTCCTAAAGATGATGTAGTTACCAAAACAGATTATTCGATTAGAAATGATGTAAAGAATATGCTACTACATGTAGGAAATATGCGTAGTACTATGTAGTTATATTTTATGCGCTAAATGCTAGGAAGTCAGTTCTTTTCCTTTTCGGGTCATGTGGAGACCTCGGGGAGATTCTTTGTTTGCACGTCACCTCTTGACTCTTAACATCTTCTCACTCTCCAGCTCCTCAGTCCCCTTGTTTGGATTTAACTATACTTTGCGCTTGTATTTTATGACTACAAGCTTGCAATTATGTTCAAAAAGAAGCCTACGGTAAATGATCTCCGCCCCGCACTACCTGCCCCTCCAAGCTTTGCTAGGTTTGCAACACGCCCACTTCAAAGGACTATATGCTAATATAGAATAGATCAAAAACCTCTCTCCACTACGGTCTTCTGATCGTAGGAAGATTGCCGACCAAATCATCAATGATTACCAGGTCCCCGTCACCTCAAACCCCACCCAAGCAGACTCGTCCGAGCCCAGTACAGCATCTGCCCCCGCCTTAAGCCTTACATCGATCCGAAATTCCCTCCTGCCCGATAACACTCAGACTGCCCGTTTTACAACCACCGCTGGTCCAGACCTTCGCGAGCTTCAAGGGATCGTATATGTTGGCACGCATCCCGATGGCGATGAGCGGGTGCTATGGTTCAAGCTGGAACACGGCCCGGGGGCCGACAAACGACTATACCCAACTGTCTACACTTTATGGCACAACCCCAATTTAGTCCCATTGCTCTACACCCCGGAGTTTGTGATGGGAAAGCTCCATGGTGGAGCTGACTTAATGACACCGGGCCTGGCGAATGAACCTCCATTCCCCGAAAGGGCGGTCAAGGGCGCCATTGTCGCGGTCGCAAGTGTGGACAGACATACAGCGCCACTTTTTGTAGGCATCTGTGAGATCGATGTTTCGGCATTGGGAGACGTGCAAGGCACAAAGGGCCATGCGGTCCGTGGATTGCATTGGGAGGGTGATGAACTTTGGGCGTGGAGCTCTGCGTCACTGCCGGGTCGTCCGGCTCCAGAGTACTTGCAGGGCTGGGACGAGGATGAAACTGAGGGTGTTGAGGAACAAATGGAGGAGTTGAGAATCGAAGATAGTGGGGCTACAACCGCCTCTGGGGACATTGAAGCATCAAGCAATGACCCAACCGCGTCAGAAGAGCCCGTGACCGAAGAGGACGCACCTACAACAGAGGGTAAGTCATCCATACCCCCGTTCTTCATCACCAGCAGTTGGATTATAAAATCAAACCAACCAAGTACTGACAAGTAATAGAAATTGATGAGGCGTTCGTTAATGCTTTTGTCTACGCCCTCTACAAGCTCAAGCAGGATAATCCATCAGCAACGGACCATGGCCTTCCACTGCCAATCACAGCTTCGGCATTGATCGCCAACTTCACTACTCCTTATCTCCCTGTGTACACCCCCCACCAGGCTCAGCATTACAACATCAAAAAAACCAGTTGGAAGAACGTCAAAAAGTTCATGAAACATCTGGATAAATCAAAACTTGTCAAAACCAAGGAACGTAACGGCCAAGAAACCGTCATTTTGGATGTCGACTTTGGGGACCATCGTGTCGAGCGATTTGTACCATACAGACTGCCTTCACCGCGTGCCTTGGAGAACAGTAAGACAGCTGCACCTGAAGGCAAGAAGTCGGCTGCGCCGGATGGCTCCGACCCCTCGGTGGGCCAGACGGTTACTGTGCAAAGTTTGTATCGGCCATCAGGAAAGCTGGTGCCAACCATTTTCCCTGCTCTCGCTGCCAGCGACACAAATAACTTCTACAAATACTCCGAAGTATCCAGTCGTTTGGATCAATATCTTGAATCCCAAAATCCACCGATCATCTCAAGAGAAAACCGACGCATCATAACCCTCAACCCATTCCTTGCCAACACTATCTTCAATTCATCATCAACCGAAGATAAAGGGACACTTGCACGCGGGAAGGTCACTCGGGATGGTCTCTTTAAACGACTCATGGATGATAAAACACTGCTCTCGCCGTACCATGTGATTTTAAAGACCGGTCAAACTATTGCAGACGTCAAGCCAAAAGCAGGCACCGCACCGAAGGTCCATGTCACCCTCGAGAAGCGGACAGGTTCTAAAATCGTTACAAAAGTCATGACTCTGGAGGTCTTTGGCATTATTCCCAGTATGTTGGCACAGGAGCTACAGAAGAAGTGTGCCGGTAGCACTAGTATCACACAGGCTACTGGTGCTCCAAAGGGGATCATGGAAGTTTTAGTTCAGGGCGACCAGCGAAAGGCCATTGAGACGGCCCTTGTTCGCCGTGGACTCAAGCCGCAAATGATTGAGGTCGTGGATAAGACCAAAAAGAAGAAATGATCACCACGCCAAAGATCATTTGTTCATGTCACTGCTGGATAGAGAGCACCTTTCCTGTACAAACGATAATCAAGCATGCAGCATACTGCTAGAAATGAAGAAGGAAACTTATGATGAGATGGGTTAAACTACCTTCCCAGTTAACATACCCCAACTCATCGCCACAAAACCATCCAAATCGCAGAAACCCAGTTGTTTCCACCAAACATCAAACTAACCGTCACTGTCGCTTCAATTCCTCGTCATGGCCCTCCTCTGTTCCATTCGTCAATTGCAATTCGCTCTCTCCACCTTGCCTTCCATTACCATCGCCACTCCCACCGGCCCCCCGTGTCTCCGTAATATTCATATCACTAGTATCAACCGCCTCCCAGATATCATCTTGAAACAAGTACTGCATCAAAGCCTCATCCGTGCGACGGGTCCCATCCGCCATGAGCGTATCGATTCTATGGACCAGATCATACGTAACGAAGATAGCTCCGCCTCTCGACTCTGCCGCCATTGCTTCTAATCTCTGGCGTTCCGCCTCTGTAAGACGACTCGCGTGACCCGGGTTATCGGTATAGATTTCTGTTTGCCTTGCAGTATCTGCGCGAGGTGTATTATCTGGTCGCTGTGTGGACCCGCGTATGGTGATGATAGTAGGTTCAGAGCTTGGTCCTGGAGTGGATGTACTGCTTTCGGCTCTGCTGGTATCCTCCGGGGTTGACATTGTAGATTCTCCTTGGTTTCGGTGGCTTTCTTGATGGGGGTATGGAATTAATTGGAAATGGTGGGTTTCTGTTTTTCCTAGTGCAGATGGAATTGATCGCATGGCTGAGACCGAGATCGTAGAATGACCCGAGAGGTTATACAGCGCACAGCACATAATTTCGTGGCTGTCCACGTGCCTCATGTACTCCAGGACTATGTTGGTATATAACATGTTTCTGTACTACCTGAGATTATAGTATGTATAATCCGGGTGGATTCTGAGGTTATGATCCTCTGCCAGACTGGAAACTTTACAATAAAGATATCTAACACTGGGGAATAGTATGAAGGCTCTTTGGTCTCAAAAACATTCGTATATTGTACTGAAATTTGCAACAGACATATCGCCCTTCACAATATCAGTACTGGTGACGTTTATAGGTCTGAAGGCCTGGTAGATGATCCTAAATTGCTTGCTTTCTCTTTTGACGGAAGGTTTCTTGCATCAGGCTATCCCGATGGAAATTCGGTTATGGAATACTTTGCCGCTTGGGCTTTGGGGATCACCTCAGCTAATATATGAGATGGCTGGCTGAGAACCAAGCAGTACTGCACCTGTCAAATGCAACCATGCGATACCGGAACGAAGACTGGTCTATTATGAGTATTGATTTTCTTACAGCTGTCTCACGCTACTCTCAATCTCTATCGAGGCTGGATAAACTGTGCGGATTTATGTTTAAAGGTCTACGCGGTATTAGTAGAGCCTTATATTACTCTTTCATCTACGAGATCATAAAATTGAGCAGTCCAAAAATTCCATTCGTCAAGGTAAAGTAGGAAAAAAGACCAAATTAGGCCTATCGTCTCCTATATGCAAAATGCAGGGAGGAAAGAGAATATAAAGGAAATCCGTGACGCGGTGTTGTTACAATCAGTTCCAATCGAACAATCGACCAAAAAAGAGGATACCCGATCCAAGTTTCACAGACGTTCAGTAACAAGATTCACACCCAGAAGAGAGAAATAGATGTAAGACATCCACAACTATAAGTCCACCATGTGGGGCGAACATTTCAGTGAGCCAGGGCACGGGCGTGCACCTTGCTGTCAGAGACAAGCCACTTCAGGGTGGAGCGGATAGCCTCGAGGAGCTTCTCGGCGCTCAGGGAGCTGAGGTATGAGGAGTAGTCGCCGGAGCCGGAGTCGGAGCTGGCGCCGGAGCTAGCGGCAGCGCCAGCGGTAGAAGTGGTGCTGCCACTGGACTCGGAGTCATCACCATCGGAGACGGGGGTGGTGCTCTGGGCAGACTGGGCGCTGGCGGTGGAAGTGAGGGAGACGCTGTCGGCGGGGGCGCTGGCGGTCTGTGTATCGGGCTCGTCAGTAACCTGAGGAGCAGAAGAAGCAATGGAAGTGGCAGTCTCAGTGGCGCTGGAAGGAGCCTCGACGGACTCGGAACCAGGCTCACTAGAGGTGGAGGTTGAGGCAGCAGACGTGGGAACAGATGAGGGAGTGGGGGTGCCGCTGGGGCTGGAGGTGGGACGGGCAGTGCGGGTGCGGGTGACGTGGCGCGAAGAGGAGCTCTGGATAGGAGAGGCACTCACGGTTGAGGCAGCAGTAGGCGCGGCAGTGGTGGCGGGGGCAGTGGTCTCGGAGCCGGATGAAGAGCCGGAGGCGGCGCCGGTGTACAGAGCGGGACCGGGGATCTTGTAGTCGTCCATCGCGGTGTAGATGCTGACCTTGATGCCGGGGTCGGCGGCCTTGTAGAGGGCTGTGCCGAGGACGCCCTCAGGAGCGTCCTTGCCGCCGCCGGTGACCTTCAGGTTGAGACACTGGGGGTAGTTCTGGGCACCGTTTGTCTCGCCGGCAGAGTGCAGGCCGATGATCTCGTGACGGAGAACGTAGTTGCCAGCGGCGATGGCGCTGGGGATGGTGACAGTGGCGCTGTTGTTGTTGGCAATGAGCTCGTCAGTTGCCCACTTGCCGGGGACGTTGCTGCCGTCGATCAGACCGGCCTCGGCGATCTTGAAGAACTTGAGGGTGGCCTTGTCGGCCTTGGAGCAGTCGCCATTGCAGTTGGCCATGTAGGTGATGACCGGGCCGTGGTGGCTCTCGGGCCACTCGGTCCACTGCAGCTCGACCTTACCACCGGCCTTGACCTCAGCGGAGATCGCACCAGGGGTGGCCTCCTTGTGGCAAATAATGTCGGGGCTATCGTAGCTGCTGCCGTCGACGAAGCCGAGGTCAGTGGCCTTCTCAGCCCATCCAATGTTCTCGGGCACCTCCGACATGTAGCTGTAGCTGTTCACCTGGTAGCCACCGTGGTAAGTGCCATCAACAACAGCACCGGACACGTAACCGTGACCAGCGACCATGGCGGCCGAGCTAAGCAGGAGACCAGTAATCTTGGAGATAGACATCTTGAAGGAGTTGGATAAAAACGCACAGCGTTTTATTTGGAAATCGAAGTATCAAAGGTGATCGAGAAAAAATGAATGAAAAGGGGACTTCAGTCAATGAAGTCGAACCCAAAAAAGAGAATGAATGGCACTAGACCTTGAAATGAATGGAATGCAAAGGATAGATGGGAAATATCAAGTGGCCCGGATGTCAGGCCTTTATATATGTACGTTCCTCGCCGGCATCATTCCCAATTTCGACAAAAGCGGCAGTACTCCGTTGCCAAGAAACACATATCACAGCAGCCATCACCCAAGTTCGACGGAGGTTTCTAGCATAGGACAAGGATTCCACTCTGTGAGTGCAGCCATAGGTGGATAATAATGAGCGACCGAGACATCTGCATCTAGGAGGTGACAGATAGATGAAGCATGTAGTTTCCAAAGCGCTAGATGTTCCCAAGGCTGCACTAGTGCACAACCGTAATTAACCTATGCTCCATCAGGGTCAATAAGGGCGGAAGGGGTTTGACGGTGTCTCATATTTTCTAGTTAGGGCTTGTCGATCGTGGGCGGTTGTCTGTGACAGTCCGAGTTTCAACCCCTTAAAAGTGACAACATCTCCGCTCTTCCAACTTTTTTAACCAAGTTTTTTGTTCTGTTTCGGGGAAATCTCATTAAATTCCGAAGCTTCAGGGAACTTTGGAGAATGTGATATCCCACAATGCCTTCTGGCAGGTCGTCTAGTATCTACCACTATCTTGTATGTTGCATGCTGAAATAGGTATGTTGAAAAATAATGTACATAGCCAACTTCAACAGCTTGTTTTTTTTTTTTTTTTTTAATTCAACCGGCTTTGCACAATGTTCCAGGCTTTCACACGGTCATTTTTTACCCCTTCGAACGCCAGGGGTCGTTACTCCATAACGCCTCTGCGCTTAGAGAAATTCTGAAACACTCCATCCACCTAGTTATATGTCCGTCTCCTGCATGATAAGGCCTAGCTGTCCACAAAAATCACCAACTCTCCGTGTTCAGTGCTTCTGTCAGACCTAGATTACAATATAAATTGCAAAGGCGCCAAAACTACAAGGAAGTCGTGAAGTTGTTCAAGTCACATGAAAATCACGTTATTCCAGAGTTGACGTTTCTCACCGGACCATCCTTTTCTCAGTTAGATTGATTGGAATTTTGATCTTATTGGCCTCAGCAGACATTTCTCAGGTTAATTGAACCTTGAGCCTGGTAATTAGCCGGAAGTTTCGATGTAAGTCTAGATCAATACTAGCCAGTTTCAGCTATGTGATTGCCCGCAAGGAACTAGATTCCCATATATGAAGGTCCGTTCATTTCCAGGGCAGATATCTGTGGCTGATAAAATCCTTATAAACAGTCAGCCAGTTCCACAGTGTATACTTAAAGAAGACGGACTATCCACTGTGCATGGAGGCTCTAGTTCGTGGCAAGCTCACCAACACTGAAGTGTTGATGGGATCAAGTTGTGAATACCACGTATTTTTTGTATGTCAACTACATGCAAAAGGCACATATGCATAACATACGCCATCGATTTTTCTCAACTTTCAAACTAGCACTGGAGGTGAATGAAAAGACCAACGAGGTTATGATGTTTCTAGTTCATGTAGAAGTGTAAGAGCACCTTAAATAACTAGTTAGCACCACATATATATAGTATACAACAATTTCTTAAAACCGCTTCAAGTAGACTCGATAATTCTTACCAGGATTGATAGTAAATAATTGCGATTTCATTTGAAATATATATATCTTCCTATATTTTCTATATTTTTGAGGTTACGTCTATGTACCTTTTGTATGCAGTTGCTATACAAAAGATACATTACAATTTGCTAGTAGTGTTCCCCACCAACACAGGATTATATATAACTAGTTAACCAACTACCTAGGTAGTTAGTTATGTTGTATACCATGTTGGGAGGTGTTCGCAGCACAGCATCCTGCATTGATGTCTTGATACGGCATCGCAGTAAGCAACACACCTACAACAGATAGCTAAGCCTGCACGCCATCAAATCGTGTTACACCAACAATAGCGAGAGTAGCACACAGCCGATAAGCGGGGTGCCACAATCTCCTTTCGCGAGGCATGATGACCCGAAGTGTCTGTGTGCGTTTTGCACAGGCCTCTGTACGTTATTCTCTTATGAATGTATAGAGTACAACATACGAAGTAATTTTTCGTCATTCCAAGTATTCAGCCTTGAAGGTCCGTCCGGCCCTACTATTTAGTACCATGTAGGAAGAATTCGGTGTCACAAAGCAAGAGGAGGTTGGTCATACAAAGTCTTCCAAAGCTTCCAAGGACTACTCTGCAGAACAGATCTCAAACCCAATACTCAGACCCTTTCCCGCTTGTCAAACGGAAGAAGTAGGATCAATAACAAATCAGAGCGATGGAAGATATGAAGGTGGTGTATTGGTCACCGCTTTGTGAGGCCTGAGGTATCTATTTTGAATCACAAATATCTCTTAGGGCTATGATTTTGGGATATGAACATTTCTATAAAAAAAGGCGTGTAATTATTTTCAAACCAAATCAAATCAAATCAAATCACTTAAATAAATTCAATATTTCAGTCATTCAACACTATATAATAAATAAACTTAGTGAAGTAAAGTTGTTGATTACGTTTGTTGAGGTTCTGCCGGCCTGGATCGGCACTCACAGTTTTCCCGCTCCCCTTTCCTCCAGGATAATCCGCAAGGCAACGACTCCCAACACCTTCAAATCTCACCTTTCTCAGGGCCATGGTATCGGAGACTGGTCCTGGTTTAAACCGTGACAAGACTTGATTGTCATACTTTTGGATCCCTATCTCTGAGATTCTCTCTCGACACGCGACCGAGTCGTCATATTCCTGTTGTGAAGGTGGCTGTTGACGGTTGAGATCGACTGCGACTTGCAAGAACCAAGAACTGGGGGAAAAAAAGAACGAAGCATGGTATCAGCGCAGGCACCCTTTTCGCCTTCTTTTTCCGCCCTGGATCCTATCATCATGGACGACGACATGGACTTTTTGGACCCCACACAACTCGAGATGTCAACTGAAAATGCTGGGGGAGACTTTGACGATCTATTCGCTCGATCCACAACGTCCCGTCCGAATGGTGCCTCGGGGCCTTCGAAACCATACCAAGACCAAAACCTCCTGAGGCAGCCGACTCTTGCCGCGGACTCGCCAGCCGAATCGCCAGATGACTCGGGTCGCAGTTCTTCCTCCGAATCGCCACGGAACCACCTGCGACAAACATCGGTCGCTTCGACAAACTCCGCAGCGCATAGTGAGAATCCATTAGCTTCTACTAGTTACCCGTCGGAGGACTGGATGCGCCCGGAATTATCGTCAGTTAAGGAGGAGTCGCCGTTCAATATTGATCCTTCGTTTCCTATGGATGGTGGGTTCTCCATGGATCCTGATCTGGAGGTCAGCAATAAGGCAATGGACGCAGCCTTTGATTTTGAAAGTGCAGCGAGTAGCCCTAGTCCATTGAAGACGGACAATGGGTCACTCCCGAGACCCCCAAAGCGATCGAAATCCCAGCTCTGGAGTCCTTCGAGCAATCACGCTAGGCTGACATCGATCGATGCTGTGCCTTCGGTGAGTCATTCGAACAGCTTCATTGTTTTCCGCACAATGCTAACAAATCATAGGTTCATGCCCCCGGGTCTCCATTCTTCGCTTTTGGACTCAACGGTCAATCGCCATACTCAACCACAATGCATCAAGATATGGACAGAGCGGCTCCGCAATGGGACGGGCAGTCTCCTTCGTCGCTTCTAGAAGAAAGCTTCGGAGGCATCAACATGAATCGCCAGTCCCCTCTTCACGCCTCACTATCACCCGCCATGAACTTCGGCTCACCCGCACCATACCAATTCCCTATCAACTTCGCTTCCTCCCCGGCCCAACCTCAAGTGAATACGCACTCTCTACAACCTGTTCTCACTGTGCATCCAACTTCCCTTAAATCCCGCGTTGAGACTCAAATTCCGATCCGATTAACTCTCTCCCCGCTACCTACCGGTGTCAAGAAACTCCGTCTTCCCGCCCACACTATCTCGAAACTCAAATTTCTTGCTCCTCCTGCCACCGAACCTACCAGCGATACCCTTCAATTGTATACAAGTCTGGTATGTACAAGCGCCATGCAAGACAGAGAAAAGATCAAGCGGGCATTTGCACGAACAAGGGGTGATCACTATCAAGCAACTTCGGATGACGAACGTCCATTAGACGGAGGTGATGTGAAAATCTGCAGCGGGTGTATACAGCGAGAACGGAAACGAGCGTCACGGAAGAAGCAAAGGAAGCCCGAGGAGGATGAATTGTTCCAAAAGGATGAAGAGAAGCGTGTCATCGTCTTCAACACCAGCGAGATCAAGGAATGGACCGAACCAGCAAAGAACTCCAGCAGTGGCTACGGCGATAGATTATCAGTTCCACCAGGATCAATGCAAGTGGAATTGCCGATGCGGATTGCATGCTATTGCCGACACCAAAATGAGAAGCTCGGGTTCCAGGTTATATTCACTGTGAAGGATCACTTGGACAACGTGGTTGCGCAGGCTATCACAAATTCGATTATGATAACGGACGACCACAAGACGCAGGCTCCATCGGCGCCTGCACCGACTGGCCCTTCGCCATCCCTCGCAGACGGGACACAAGTACCGGGAGTTGGAGTGTTTCCCTCTGGCCAAAATCCCGAGAACGGGCAAAGTTCTCTCGGTGCACCTCATTCGCCAACTGATCTGCAGGGTCTTCAACAAAGGTTCAATTCACAATATCAGCTCACGCCCAGTTCATTTGCGGCACCGGGCTCAACGAATGGAGCGCATGCACCTCAATCTTCCAGGAGCCTGTCTCGAGGAACATCCCCATCGGATTTCCAAGGGCCACAAAGCAAACGACGCAAACACAGCAGCTCTGGAAGGCTTCCATCGGAACTCACGATGACACGACTCGAGACACCTCAGTCATCGGCAGCGGCCATGAACAATGCTGCACAACTTGCGGCTGCTCGTGGATTCGCTTCACCAAGTGAACGGCCATTCGTAAACCCGTCCGCCATGTCAGCTCAATATGGAAATGGTCCGCCCACTCCAAACCAGAACAATGATAACAACCCATTCTTCAACCCAACTCCCGCCCAGCGACAAAGTTTGGATAGTCTGGCCGGGGGAGCAGTGGCGTCGACGCCCAACTCTACCCATCCCAGTCGCCCGGGGACACCAGGTGGCTCGAATCGCAACGGCTTCCATGATTCAAATATTCCCATGGGACTTGGCGCGAATTCATCAAGCCAGGTTTGGCCTCCCCTCAACACTACCCCCAATCGATTGCCATCAGTGATTCACAAGTTGGTGCCTGCCGAGGGTTCCATCACAGGAGGTACTGAGGTTACGTTGTTGGGCAGCGGATTTTATCCTGGCATGGAGGTGGTTTTTGGTGATACCTTGGCTACTACAACCACCTTCTGGGGTGACAAGTGCCTCAACTGCTTGACCCCTCCCGCTCTTCAACCAGGATTGGTATCTGTGGTATTCAAACATGAACACCCAACTTTTGGCCAAGTCCAGCAGTCTCAACCCCTCATGCCCAAACAACAACTGTTCTTCCGCTATGTGGATGACCGTGAGCTTCAAATGTATCGCTTGGCACTGAACATTCTTGGTCAGAAATTGGGCAGCCAAGCGGATGCGTTCCACACAGCGCAACAGATCATGGGAAGCGATCCAAACGCATTCTTCAACATGCAGGCAGACATGCAAGGTAACTCCTCTGGGGGTCAGCAACGCCAAGTACCGGGTCTTGAAAACCAAGGCAAACTCGGCGATCTCGACTCCAAGATGCTGACCTACTTGGAATTCATCGACTTGGATAACAGTCCCCGGCCACCGCGGTATAACTCTCGCAGCACGACCGGCCAGAGTCTTCTTCACTTTGCGGCATCGTTGGGACTGACGAGATTTGTTGCGGGTCTTTTGGCTCGAGGTGCAAACCCCGATGTACAAGACAACACGGGCAATGCACCAATGCATCTGGCCGCACTCAATGGCCATGCTCACATTGTCCACCGCTTGCGTCTGACGGGCGCCAATCCCAACACTCGTAGTGTACGAGGTTTCACTGCTGCAGACTTAGCAACAACACTTCCCGCGCACCAAGCTGCATTGCTTCCGTCTCGGCACTACCGGTCCCGCAGTGTTGGGTCCCTCACATCACGCCGCCGGCAAAGCAGCTCAGCCTCGCTCAGCTCGATGTGGGAAGTGTCTTCGGCCTCTGGATCTCTTGGTCATGCTGTTGATGACTCAGAGGATATGGACTCGGAAGAGGAAACTACCGACGACTCCGACTCGGAGCCTCTTCAATTCAGCTCTTCTCGTCGGTCTAGTATGCACCAAGATGTCAGTCCGCCAATTATGGACAATAGCGAACCAACCGTCGCACCCGGAGATGCTCAAGGCTTTGCCCCGCCAGCACCTCTTGTCGCGTGGCGTGACCACCTGGCTCTTCAAATCAATCAATTCCAGCAGAGCGTGGCTAATGCCTTCCCCAACCTCCCGGCTCTCCCTCCGATGCCTCCGATGCCCGCAATGCCCGCGATACCCGCGATGCCCGCCCTCCAAGACTACCAAGGGCAAGGAATGATGCGTCGCATAACCAACCTCGTCCCTCACCGACCTGCTGCTCGAGATGGCTGGTGGGATTACCTGAAGGGCACCTCCGCGCCCAATCCCAACCAACCACCTTCATACGATGAGCTATTCCCACACCCTGACGCCACCGACGAGTCCGACATGAAGAAATCCAGTCTGCTCCGTGCCGCAACAGAGGCAGCTATCGACCAACACTTCGAGGCCCAGAGCAGTGCTGCTGCGGCCGCCGCTTCGGCTTCGGCTTCAGCTTCATCTTCCCTCGCTCAAGTCGAGAAAGACGATATCAAAGACATCACAATCGGGCGCAACGTCATCTCGCGCGAGCAACAAAAGCATCTCCGAGAGCAACAGGCTCGACGAATGAAAGGTCTAGGCAGCGACCGAAACCTCTACTTCATCTGGGTAAGTAAACAACCATGCCCATCGGCTTCTTTTCTTCTTCAGTCTAGTTCACAGCTAACACCATTCCTACAGATTCCTCTTCTTATTCTCGTTATTTGCGCCTGGGGTCGGAACTACGCCCCCGGGATTTGGCAAGGCGTCACGGACAGCTTTGAATTTGTGAAAGCTCGCTATACACAGCCGGCTGTGGAACTGGGCATTTAGGGTATTTTCCTTTCCTTCTTTTCTCTTTTCATTTCTTTTTTTCTCTGGTCATATTTTCTACGGTGTTCTTCCTGAGCGAGTGAAGCTTCCCTATTATACGACGGACTAACTGTCGGGGTTTTTGTCTTTTTTTTTTCTTCTTATTTGTGTGCATAATGACGCGGCATGACTGTCTAAGTAGAATCCGCATGATCGAGTTTTACTGTCCTTCCATATAACTTTCTGACTTGAACCTTATGACCTGTTGCTATTGCAGTTACATTTTTTTATCACTCAGGTATGCAGTGCTATACCTCATGGTCCACATCCAAATAGAATTCTTGAAATATCTGCTTTCTTCATTTGGGGATACCATGCATGTAATGTACTAAACTACTACCAAGGACTTATACCTCTTGCAAAACTCCTCGACAGCTTCAACAAACGCATCGAGAGCCGTGGTAGACATAGCGATGTTCAACATACCCCGATAGCACCAATTAACTAGGGTGTTTCAGCGCGTGTGATTGGCAGTATAGAAAGGCGGTGTATGCCAATACCTACAGGGCTGTCATCTCATTATGTCTTCAGGACCCCTTCCCTACAATCTCCTAAGCATCATGCAGCGTTCTTCTTTGTTTTCTGTCGTTCCCAAATTCAGAATACCACGCCACGCTTTGCTCCCTGGATAATTCCACCATCAAGACTCCTATCACCCCCTCTGGTGTCGATAGATACTCGCCTGAAATGGCTGGCGTTGGACCTCTCCCTGATGACACGGCAGACTTCGGCGACTATGTGAAAAATTGGGACGAGGAGACTGACCTCGAAGAACTTGTTGAACCTTGGTATAAGTATGACATCAAGGAAACTCGAGATGTCTTCTATCCCGTTTGTCTTGGAGAAGTACTTGTTACAACCTGCCCCTGGACTAGCGAGTTACAAACTAGGCCAAAAGACCATTATATCTGAGCATTACGCTCAGATAGACCAGGCTCCGATATATATAGTGCATGACATGACAAATACGAAGTGGTATCACCGCAACTTTAGGACCACTACCTGAGGAGTGGAAGGGCCTTTATCCCGAAGCGCTTGATTCATGGTATGATCAGTATCAGACACCTGATCAAATATTCACCTTTCTATCAACAATTGCGCGCTACCGCCCCGATGCTGATCTAGTTGAGAAACAGCATGTGATCTCGATTATGTCTAAAGTGTTTACCTACAATGCAGCGGAACGTCTGACCGCAACACAGCTTCTGCGGGACCCTTCATTCAGGGCTATTATGGACAAATATGGTTGTTGATATTCCATTCTTCGCTCCTGTGCTGCAATATTGTTTCTTTCTTGATTGGTCTAGGGATTCTTTTGTCTTTTCGTTTCCCTCGGGGGATAAGTCATTTTCAGTTTCAGAAATGCGAATGCTAGCTTTTTCGGTTATGGAGTATGCACCGGAAGGTATGTAACAATTTTTGATTTCTCTTTTAGGGCACCTTTTACTATAGAACCGTCAAGCATATATGTTGTATGAGCGGGGAGGAGAAATCCCGAGGTCTGATGCGTGTTCTGGATTGTCCGTTCAATAGTTTATCAAGTCCGCTGCTATCCCGTAACATATAATACTATCTCAATGGAGCAAGTCTAAGCATTTGATCTCTGATGTCCTTCAAGAATGAGTCAAAAGAGAGGGGTATATTACTAGTGAATCCCTTATGATTTCCACTAATTTATCACAGAGACAGAGAGTTATAGATGGAACATGTATACACCGGAGAGTGATTTACAAAGAACCCTAGTATATTAATATAGCATCGATTTTATATCGAGGGACTGTGAATAATATAACTAGATGCATCTATTTTGCCGTCTTCGTATCTATCGTTCGCCGTAAAGGGGCCCACGCAGTCCATTCTACAATCATGAAAAATAAGAAATGATCGCCCCTTTTTTGAACAAAATCACATCTTTAACAACATCAACCCCAATTAAGGAGGCGTTTCCCCTTTGGCTTGGGGATAGGCGAACCATGTCAACCTCTCCCAACATCCTAAAAATTCTCTTTCTCTATGCTGCCCAATGCCTGATACCCGCAACTCTCCTAATCGCAACTCCAAAACAATCTACTCTTCGGTATCTGTCAATTCCATGCTCTATCTTCATTGTATATCGAGCTATACCGGTGGCCACAGCGTTAGGCCCAGGATTCGTATGGTGTGAATGCGGTCGCTTATTCATAACCATCGCCTTCCAATGCCTAAATTTGCTACACATCAACCCCAAGGATAGCAATGATTTGCCCTCTGGGGGTAGCCAGGGCTTTGTGGCTCGAATTTATGCAGCGACTCGGTTTTTTACTGACCCTCGTGGGATCAACACTCCCTGGCAAATAAAAAACGCCCCTCCACAGCCAGCATATTATAAACGACGTAATATGAGCACACCTCCTCCTGGTCGCTTTTTGGTGCGCCAAACAGCCATTGTTGTTTGGCAATATCTAGCTCTGGATGTCTTTGCTACTCTTGCATTGCAACAGGCATTGGAGCAAGAGAAAAGTGGGATGTTGCCGCTAGTGCCTCAATGGGATATATCAACCGAACAGTGGATTGAACGTATCATCTCAAACATTATGGCGGGATTTGTGGTGAGCCGAATTCTCATAGATTTCCACCATCGTGTCTTCTCGATCATCCTTGTGGGACTTGGACTCGACTCGCCTGAAAATTGTCCTCCATTGTACGGAAGAGCGCTAGATGCCGATACAGTACGGGGCTTCTGGGGGTAAGTTTATTCACGGCAAGTTATATGGAGATGGAGTATTGTACTGACATCGGTCTCGTAGAAAATTCTGGCACCAGTTGCTGCAAAACCCCCTGACCTCTGTCAGCGCTTTCATCACTCAATACATATTGGGTCTAACGCCAAAGTCCTTCGTGCAGAGGTACATGAATGTTTTTGTTGTTTTCTTCTGTTCGGGCGGGTTGCATCTCGTCCTCGACATTGTGCAGGGAATCCCATCACAGGAATCCGGCGCCATGTTATTCTTCGTCACGGCCCCTCTAGGCCTCATGATCGAAGACACCATAAAAATGGTTTGGAAATATTTGTCGAAGTCTAATGGACAAAGCCAAAAACTTCCTAAACCTCTGTGGCAAAGGGCTCTTGGCCTAACGTGGTCTATGGTATGGCTAGGTGTCACCTCAACTGGGTTCTTCTATCCACAGGTGGTGAGGCCAGAAAATCAAGCCCTGGTTCCTTTTTCTTTGGCAGGTCAGATTGGACTGCCTATACAGGCAGGCATTGTTTTGGTTGGTGGTGTTGTGCTAGCAAAGGTGTTTGAGGTTGAGGTGTGAGGTGTGAGGTCATTGGGTATAGGTCCGGGGTCACTGTTAAGATAGATTTTTAAATATAGTACAGTAAGTACAACATATATGTATTTAGATACATATAACCTCTAAATAAATATGTATATATGTATATAGTTATGTATATTTGTCTGAATATATAAAACTAAGAGAGTAGACCCCCAAATCCTAAAAGCAGCGAGGGATATGCACTAAAATGGAAAAGAACGAGGCCGTGCGTAGCCACTGTTGACAGCATGTCTCCCTTCACCCCGCGACTTTTCCCCTTAATTTCCAGGCGCATGAAAGATCCTATGCACCTTGGATTCTGAGATGTCCTGAAGTCAATTGGCTACTTCCCGTATTGCGCCCGGGAAATCATGGACCCTTCACAGGCTTCGAGCAATGTAACAGGTACGACCAATGTGATCAAGATGAATGAAGCTTGCGCTGACCATAAAACACAGTGGAATACACAGATCCTTCGGGCTTGTTTCCGCTCATACAGCCCGTAATTGAATCAAAGCTCCCCCTAAAAAATCTCCACTGGAAATCGCCAACCCGCCCCGTGCGGTCAATCGAGTCGCTCCGCATCGGCTTCACACCTGCGCAAGAATCAAACGAACGCAAATCATCGAGCGATACTGTTAATGGCCCGGTTGCCCATCGCAGGCACCAAATACCCGGTCTACGTCAGACCCCATACCTGAAAGTCTACCTCCTCCGATGCGACGACAACGAAACCTACAAGGCCACGGCCCGACGGAACCTTCGCGAATGGATCAAGGCCAACGCGCCTTCCCAAAGCTCGCAATCCGCAACTACTAGTCAGGAAAAGCACGATGCGTTCGAGTGGCTTATCCTACATGTGGTACCGGACGGTGATGCTGCGGACAAGGCGGCCACACCCACCTCCAAATGGGGCCGTGGTTCAACTTCAGTGCTGGAAAAGGCGAAGGCCGACTTCAACGGGTCGTCCAAATCTGCTGTGGACCGTGTGGCCCAATTGCGTCTTCCGAAGCAGGGGACCAAGTCCCCTGAATTGGCAGAGCAATTGGAGGATCTGATTGATAAAATGAAGAACGGGATTCTAGCCTCGTTTGATTTGCGTGTGGCTCAATATGAGGATGACATAAAGGAGAAAGACTCTCAGCGCAGTTTGCCTGGCTGGAACTTCTGCACGTTCTTCATCCTTAAGGAAGGTCTTGCTAGGGGGTTCGAAAATGTGGGCCTTTTCGAAGATGCGCTGGCTGGATATGATGAGCTAGCCGTTGGATTGGATGCGGCCATTCGAGAGCAGCTCGATGGGAGTGGCGACCAACACAGTGGTGCACTCTCGGTCACTAGTAAAAACTGGGCTGAGATGGCTAAAAAGGCATTGGAGATTGGAGCTTCCGACGACAGCGACAGCGATGACGCGGCTCTCTTTTCGGAGCTTCAGCCCGGGGATTTCCCGTTTAACGCCAACAAGATGTCCTACCGGGAAATGATCCTGGGAAGCGATATCTCTATCTTCGATTTCCGCACATACATCTTCTCTCGTCAACTCACTCTACTACTCCGAGCCGCGAGAGCTCCATCACTGGCTGGTAGCGAACCTGTGACAGACGGCAAGTCGGCGAAATCAGGCAAGAAGCCTGAAAACCTCATTCTACTAGCTGAGATTTGCGCAAGAGCAACAGAATTTATCGGTTTAGCTGCGCGTACCCTCCGCTATGATCTCGAATGCGGTCTGGCAAAGGTCGTTCATGATGACAAGACAGATATTATCAACAATCTAGTCTCCTCATGGGCATTTTCAGCAGCTTTCCAGATCCTGAGTCAGACCTCTACTCCGACCCTCATGCTCCCCGAATCCTCTCTTCATGCGGTTGCACGATCGAGTGAAGCCGCTGCTGCCACTATGGCAGATTCCCGTGCCGATGTGCCCCGCCGCTCTAGTTCCCTCATAGGCTCATCTGGTGCCCGACCTCCCCGGCCAGTGACCCAGGATATCTCTGATAGTGTGGCCTTGATGCAGCGGCGATCCACTATGGAACACCCTAAGGCCGTGCCTATTCCCACTCAGAAGACCGGTTCTGAACAGCTATCATCCGGTAGGGCGGAGTTGCTTCTTCTAGCTCGGCGGTCCCTCGAGGAGATTGCTAGCAGACGGGGCTGGACTGAGAATTGGAACAATCTTGGTCTTCTCTTTGATGATCGCCATCGTTCTGGGGAAAGTGACCTGTCGGAGATCTCGTTAGACGGCGATGGCACTGAAGACTCACAGGCACCTAAGAAGAAGAAGGAATCGTCGCTTGTAGGCATCGAACTTTCTGGGCTCAAGGCCGCATTAAAGTCAAAAGACGCCTTCTTGTTTCTCTATGAAGACCTCACAGACCGTTTGATTCGCCATCATATGGCAGCCAATCGTGTCAACTCTGTCGAACAGGCCCTGGCTGAAATCGCTATTTTACGATACCGCCGGAAAGACTACGAGTCTGCTGCTTCCTATTTCCATCGGATGGCTCCCTTCTACGGCTCTAAGTACTGGATTGTTTTGGAAGGAAGCATGTTGGAACTCCACGCACGGTGCTTAAAGGAACTCAAACGGAACGAGGATTACGTTCGGATGATGATACGATTGCTTTCCAAATTTGCTACATATGCGCAGGCGCAATTGTCAGTCAGGCAAAAGTCCGTCGCTGCCTCGATTCCTTCTGCTGAACAGGAAATGTTAGAAGGACATGTCCGCGATTTGTTTGAAGCGTCTAGTGCTCTTCAAAAGGATACCCCTGCTTCCTTGACAGACTTCTTTGCCGAATTCCGCGTCGACCCAGCCATTCGTCTGTACGACAATAAGGATGGATTTCAGATACAATTGTCTTTGCGATTCCTTCTGGGCCAGCAGATTGAGATTAGCAATCTCAAAATTCGGCTGGTCAGCGCTAACAGCGCTCACAATTCTGAGCACTGGATCGAGAGCTCAGCCAAGTTCGTGGTGAAATCATCGTCAACACTGATTTTGATTGACTCCTCGGTAAGTACTCGTAGGATAACTTTCGCTACCAATACCTAACCTTTATGCAGACCACACTTCAAGGCAAGTACTTGATTGACAGACTCGAGATGAGGGCTGGCAACCTTGTCTTTAACTTCAATGGCGGACTTGACTCCACCCTTCCAGTTGGCTTCCGGGAAACCGAAGACTCTGAGGAAACCGACAACCAGCCTTACATATATTGCTATCCTCCGGCCGAGGCCCTGCAGGTGAAGATCGTGTCACCGCATCTTATCAACCTCCAGGCCATGCGGACGCTGGAGCTGGAACTTGACAGCGGACGAAATGATATCAAAAGTGGTACGATCCGTGTCCGGCCAGCTACTGCAGGCCTGCGGCTTCGCCTTGCAGAAACAGAGGTCGTGGATGGCAAGATTGAGGTGGATGCCAGCCACGATTCGGGCATCATCGAATTCGCGCACTTGCCGGCGCGGTCATTCGTTCGACTACGTATCCCCTACACTTTGGAAGAGGCGTTTTCGACCCTCTCGGCGCGAGCAGAGATCGGATATGAGACTGAGCAAGGCCGATTCGCTTCCTCGGCATCATTCAATGTTGTTTCAACGCTACCTATATCGGTAAACGTGCAGGACATTTTCAAGGATGAACTCCTATTCTCGCGTTTCACCATCAGTCCGGCCATGTTGATCCCGCTTCGTATCATGAGCTGCAGTCTACCCAGCTCAGACATTTACGACGTGCAATCTAGCATCACCGGCCCCGTCGCCCTTGATGTTTTCCCCAAGCAGCCCGCATCCCTTCTTTACAAAATTCGCCATAATGAAGGCAACGCAGCTGCATCAACGCCGCGGAGTCTACAACTCAGTGTTGACTTCACATGTGTCGACGATGAGTGTCTCGATGCAGTCGAAAAGCAATTCGCTGCTTCCATTGGCTCGAGTCCATTCCGTCAGTACGCATCGCTGCTCACATCTCACATTGTGAGCAGTTTCCGCGCGCAGCTGTCCACGACTGACATGGAAGCCATTGGACTCATTCGAGAGGTAAACATGCTGCCCTATCAGACTGTGCGGTGGGACGATCTGCTCGGAGCTTTAAAAGCACCAGGCGAGGATGTGCGACAGTGGCTCCAAGAGTGGCACAAGGTAAGTACTAACTGGAGTGTTTCCAGCCAGCTATTTTACTCACATATGAAACAGAACAACTCCACCATCTCCCTTCCCGCACAACCTACTATCCCAACCCGTCGGATCATCATCCCCGTTGACGTCCCCGAGATCCAAGTCGTGCACACAGCCGACCTCCAGCTCCAGCTCAAACCCACCACCGACCCAGGGCCATCTACTCACGCCGCCGTAGGTCAGATGATCACCGCCGAGCTTTGTCTCCGCCACACGCGACGCTGGTGTTCTCCAGCGACCCGCGAAAACGCCGACCAACCCCTCGAATGCTCCTACGAGATTCACGCCAATCCAGACCAGTGGCAAATAGGTGGCCGCCGTCGGGGCAACTTCCTCGCCCGCGACGGCGAATCCACCTGCTTCACTGTCCTGTTACTCCCCCAGAAACCGGGCCATCTCCTTCTTCCGGGTCTTGAAATCCGTACCTTCCTCCCATCGACACCTCAGCTCCCGACATCGGCTCCTGGAGCTGATTCCGCTGGTTCCCTGGCGCCGACTCGTCGCTCGATCCCTTGTGAGGTTGACTACCGTAACCATGGCGAGACGGTTCTTGTTCTCCCTGATTTGAAGAAGACTACTGTTAGTCTTAGTGCCGCTGGCGGTAATCACGCTGCTGGTGGGGGATCTTGGTTGGTTGATTCGGAGCGGCGGACGCAAGAGGTTGGTTGATTTGATAGATCTGTGTTGGATGGATGATTGTATGTATAATGAGTCATATATAGGCTCGCTGAGGGTACTTGTTTGTATGTAGTTCTACGAATCATGAATCCTTTATTCTTTTGTGAACCCCTTCAATTGTACTCCTTTGTGTGTAGATTGCTGTATAG